AGAAAATAATGGAGAGAATCTGATCTGATGAATGTGCAGAAAATTGCCGGGAAAAAGAAATGCTTACAACCTTACTAGTTCGGTAAAAATAAGCATGATAATTCACTGGGCTTGAGTGTGAGTAAGGAATATTGCTAGGAGATAAAGGGTTGATCTTTTTGCAGTTTTTGTTTAAGATGCTAATTGACAGCCCCGTTATTTACTGACCGACTAGCATGGTAACAGAATTGGGAAAAAAATAAAACTTGTAGTCTATCAAACTGGGCTTCGCTCTGGAGTCTTATTTTGTTCCATATTACCATCCCCTGGAATGATAACACCCTTAATGAGCCTGAGGATATCAACCCAAAAATGAGAAGCAAAAAGACTGACAGCAGAGCAAGAATCTAGACCCAGCTTTTATCCCCTGGTGTGGAGAGACTTCACAATAGTTAAATGTATATAACTTGAGAAAGAACAGGGCTCAACGCAGTGGGTGGAGTAGTTTGAACCAAGGGGATTTCCTGAACACCTTGCATGGTGCCAACCTAAAACAAAAGCACTAAGGGCATTTCCCAGCAATATAATAGTGGAGGCAGAACAATTATTGCTGGCCTTCCTTGAACTAGCTAAAGCTGTTAGGCAGCATGTGCAGCCCTGAATTGTGGTGGTGGTGGTGGTTACGCTGCAGCAGCAAGTCGTATCCCCAAAATTTTAATCCTGTGAACAGGTGGGCCTTTTTCAGGCTTCACCTCACCCTCAGGTTTTCATGCACATGTGTACACACGCATGCATGCACACACACTTCCTCTTTTGTGAATATCAGGACTAGGTTGGCAACGAGGGCTGAGTCTGCCTGAAGTTTCAAAGAGAAAACAAACGTGCTATTTTCAATTCCCACATCACAGTTTTAAACCTTCTGAATGCTTTACCCTCCAGCTGATGGTGGATTTAGGGCTTTTGACATGGTCGGCAGTCTACTGAAGGTGGAGAAATACCTTGCTAGTTGGGTGTATTGAGTTTGTTTTGTGGTTTTCTATCTGGATCAGTAACTTGTGAAACTTTTTCTTGTATCTTGCAACTTCAGACCATTAAAAAGTCGATTGTGGTTTTCCCACCCTCTTGCCAGATGTTGAATTGTTCGTGACTAATCAACAGTGAAAGGTGTAGTACAAGGCTCCCTGATGTTCTCCTCGATAGGACAGTGAGCTAGCTGTAAGAAGCCAGAGAATTTTCGACTTAATTGCCACTTCTATTGTGCTTTGTTCCTCTCTGCTGGGCTGCTGCAATTAATTGTGAATTAGAGGGAAAGATGAAATGGACTTCTTGCTCGAAGTAGTGATCAGGGTGCATGTTGCCCCTTGGGTAAAACTGTGCCTCTTTTATTTATTGGAGTTTGCATTTATCTTTCTCACTCTTCGAGTTCTACACTGTTCTTCCTTCACGAAATATTCACTCCGTGCACCACTGATGCTCAGTAGCCGTAGTGTGTACCATCTACAAAATGCACTTCAGAAATTCACCAAGATTCTTCAATCAACACCTTCCAAACTCATGGCCGTTTTCATCTGGAAGGACAAGGCCATCAGATACATGGAACACCAGCACCTGTAAGTTCTCCTCTGACCCACTCACCGTCCTGACTTGGAAATATGTTGCTGACTATTCAGTATCAAAACCCTGGAACTCCCTCCCGGCTAGTACTGTGGGTCTACCCACAACGCACGCACTGCAGCGTTTCAAGAAAGCAGCTCACGAAAACCACCAGCCAGCGGCACCCAGGTTCCATGAATGAATTAAAGGCGCAGGAAGGATATTTTCCCTGGTTGAGGGTGGGTAGCAGTGTATAGAACCTGAGAAGGTTTGACTCAGAGCGCCGAGTAGATAATTTACGACTGAAATGAGGAATTTTTTCACTCAAAGTGGCGAATCTTTAGAATTCTCTACACCAACAGCTGTGGAGGCTCAGTTACTGTGAATTTGAGAGGGACACTGAGGACCATAGGGATAGTGCAGGAAAATGGTGTTGAGATAGAAAATTAGCCATGGTCTCATTGAATGGCAGAGTCGGCCTGAGGTGGCTGAATGACCACCACCTGTTCCTATTTCTTATGGGACATGACTTTCTTCCATGTGTGTGGTGTGGAGCTATGGATAGTTATGGTGATACTCAAACGTTCCACAGCCCATCAGGAATCTCTACTGCTCTTACCACCTGCGTTTGGAAGACTTGCGAGTTGGTAACCCACCAGTTTGGCTGGGTTATGGATGCACCTCATTTGGCTGTCAAGTCCTGGAGTGGGGGCTGAACTTCGGAGCCTCTGGCCCAGAGGCAGATATGCTACCCACTGTGCCATAGGACGTTCCATATATTTCCAATGTGGTTGATTTAATGAGACATGATCCAATACTATATCTGTACTACACTGCTTCCACAGATTAGAGTTTGGTTTTTACTCTGTGATCTTAGCACCCAGAGAAGGTGGTCTAATTAGCCAATGTACTGTAATATCCTGCAACATTGAGTCAATGACTGTTAATCAGACTCTCTCCAAAAGTACAGTAAAAGTTTCATAAGGTTTGATATGCCACAAAATCATTTATCATGTGAGGGCTTATAGGTCCCAACTGTCCCCACCCCCTCAGCCCTGATTCCTGTCCCCTTGGCTCACATCACTTAACTTTGGTTTTGCTCCTAAATGGAATCACCATTCCACAGTTCAGCCATAATCTGGTCCTTTTTTTAATTTTGGATCCAGAGTGTGGCATTTCATTTGTGAAAGAAAAATTTACTCCTTTGAGTGTTTTTACAAATGTGTGGTTTGGTAGATTTGCAATTTTCACCTCTGTCAGCAGATCGTGGATTCAAGCTCCATTCAGAGACTTAAGCACAGCGCTAGGCTGAGGCCCCTAATTCTGTACTGTCGGAGTGCTGCACTGTCAGTTGTCTTCTTTCAGACATCCATGTCCATCTACTCCCTCGGGTAGACGTAAAAGACTTCACCCATCTCACTGTGGTGAGAAAGGGTGATGTAGGGTAGGAGCAGAAGCGGGTGTTCTCTGTGGTGTCCTGGGGCCAGTTATTATTCATTGACAAACACCACTAAAAAAAGAAACAAACAATTTGAGTCATGATCTCATTGCTGTTTGTGGGAGCTTCCTATATGTAAATTGGCTGCTGAGTTTTCTGTTTTACATGAGTGACTACAGTTGAAAAAAATGTTTCATTGCCTGTGAGATGCTTTGGAAAGTCTGGAGGTGGTGGCGTACACTAGAGAAGTACAAGTCAGAGTCGTGCAGCAGAGAAACAGGCCCTTTTTTGGCTCCACTCGTCCATGTTGACCAGCTTTCCTAAACTGAACTAGTCCCATTTGTTTGCATTTGGCCCATATCGTTCGAAACCTTTCCTATTCACTTACCTGTCCAAATATCATCTTAAATGTTGTAATTGTACCTGCCTCTGCTACTGCCTCTGGCATCTTGTTCCATATATGCACCACCCTCTGTATGAAAAGGTTGCCCCTTGGGTCCCTTTTTTAAATCTTTCCCCTCTCACCTTAAACCTATGCCCTCTCATTTTAGATTCCCCTATCCTGGGGAGTCCTTAGATAGTCACCTTATCAATGGCCCTCGTGATTTATAAACGTCTATAAGGTCACCCCTCAGCCTTCTATGCTCCAGGGAAAGAAGTCCCAGCCTATCCAGCCTCACCTTATAACTCAAACCTTCCAGTCTTGACAATGTCCTTGTAAATCTTTTTTTGCACCCTTTCCAGTTTCCTAGCATCCTTCTTACAGCAGGGTGAATAGAATTGTACGCAGTACTCAAATGTGGCCTTAACAATGTCTTGTACAGCTGTAATATGATGCCCAACTCCCCTAATCAGTGCTCTGACCAATGAAGGCAAGCGTTCCAAACACCACCTTCACCATCCTGTCTACCTGCAACTCCACTTCTGAGGAACTGTGTACCTGCACCCATAGGTGTCTCCGTTCGACAACACTCGCTTACCATTAATTGTGTAAGTCCTGCCTTGGTTTGTCTTGCCAAAATGCAACACGTCGTGTTTATCTGAATTAAACTCCATCTGCCGTCCCTTGACTCACTGGCCCAGTTCATCAAGATCCCCTTCTACTCTTAGCCACCTTCACTGTTCACTATACCATCTATGTTGGTGTCATCCTCAACTTATTAACTAAGCCTCCCATCTTCTCACCCAAATTGTTTTATATAAATAGTGAACAACAGTAGACCCAGCATCGATCCTTGCAGCACATTGCTGGTCACAGGCCTGCAGTCTGAACAACCACTACCCTCTGTCTCCTACTGTTAAGCCAATTTTTGGATCTAATTGGCTTGCTTTCCCTGGATCCCATGGGATCTAACCTTACTAACCATTTTAAAAGCAGAACCTGGTCAAGAGCCTTGCTCAAGTCCATGTAGATAGTGTCTACCGCTCTGCCTTCATATGTCAGCTTGTTCACCTCTTCCAAAAAAAAACTCAATCACGTTTGAGATATGATTTCACATGCACAAAGCCATGCTGATCATCCCTAATCAGTCCTTGCCTTTCCAAATGCATAAAGACCCTATCTCTGCAATTACCGTCCAATTTACCCACCGCTGATGTTAGGATCACCAGTCTATAGTTCCTTAGCTTTTCCTTTCAGACTTTCCTAAGTAATGGCACAACATTAGCCACCCTCCAGTCTTCTGCCACCTCACCCGAAAGTCGCTTAATTTTGTTTAGAGGAAGAAGTTAGATGTGCAGTTGCAATCCTGAGGCATGTCAGTGATGGACAGAAGGATTAAAATAGTTCGATGGCTGTTTTTAGACTAGGGCCTTTTTCTTTGCTGTGGACCCCGTGACCTAAATTGTCATTGAAATACTTAAGTGGACAACTGTAATTGTGTATGGTAGAAATAATTGGGATTCAGTGCTATGGTTGGATATGCCTGTACTTCCTTTTTCCAATGAGTTAGGCAGACTGTTACTAACTACCTTTTTCTTGTCATTTCAGAAACAACTGTGAGCCTGAGTATCAAGACCACATAATGGAAGAATGCATCGAGCAAAGCACAGTGGATAGGCAGGGCCCTGTGGACTACGGGGTCCAAATACGCTTCATAAATGACCTCCAAGACACCCATAAATCTAAGAAAGCGAAGAAGAATGTGGCCAAGTCAGGTTCCTATGGAGTCATGGTCCGGGTCCAGGGAATTTCTGGACAGCCATACGTGGTGTTGAATAACAGTGATGGAGTATCACCAGCACCTGGGGCACAGTACAGGACAGATTATGTTAAAGACGGTATCCCAGAAGAGAGTGGCTCTGCTGTCCCTGGCACCTATCCAGAAAATAGAGAAGATGCAAAGGAGCTTGACGTTCCGGAAAACCCTTATGGAGACACCACCTCCAGTAGGCATCCCACTGGCAGTGATTCCCAACATAGTACCTCCGATGAAGAAGCGGGTTCCAGACACTACGTGCGGCTCTACGACTCTGAGGCCTACGTGCGGAGCAGCAGGAATGCTGGCTTGTACGAGAGCGTTGAGGGCCACATGTCGCTGCCCCGCCGGAGACCCGCACACCCCGAAGAGCAACTGAGGAAGTCTTGCTCCCAGGGATCATTGCTCAATATGGAAGAAGGGCCATTTCCTCTTGAGCTTCCGCCCGGGAAAAAAGTGGACCAGCAGACCCGGAGCTCTGCTGCATCAACCAGCAGCGAGCAGTCTGTTGGCAGTGGCAGAGGGAAAATTCAGGGCTATTCCAATGATCTGTACCTGGACGAACCTCGATTGAATCCGCCCGTGTCAAGTTCCATTGGGTGGTCAAAGTCGGTGAGCAAAGCATCTTCTGCCGCTGACATGTCGTCCAAGTCCAGTGATGCCAGTGCGATAGACACCAAGCCCCTCTCATCTGTCGACTCGTTAATTAGCAAGTTTGATAGAAGTGGTGGGCAGCAGAGGGGCCGAACGGCGCGACGTAATCGTATTACAGCCAGCGACCAGAAGCGGTCGCAAAGCCTCGATAGCAGAATGCCAGTGGACCGCTCCAGCAACAGACCGGAACTGAAGAAAGAGCCTGAGTGGGACGAGGAGTTTGAGACACCCGGCGGCCAGAAACCATTCCGTTCTGGTGACGTGATGGATGTCTGTAAGGATGTCAGCTATGAGAAGATCCTGGAAGCAAGGCCTCCTTTGGTCACCAAGGAATCGCCCCCTCAAACCCAGTTTGCTCCTCCAGTCTTCAGTGCAGTCAACAGATACACCGCGGGTTTCCCCAACAAACCTGCGAAGGAGCCGGATCACTTCCCAACTGCTAATGCGTCTAGCCTCCCCAAAAAGTGGAGTCAGAACCAAACTGAGGCGGAGCCCATCGTGGAGAGAAATCGGAATACTGCAGTCTTCACTGAGCGAACCATACAGGTAAAATGAAAGACCAGATTGCTTGTGCAGTTTTTTTTTCTTGTTTAGCAGTTTGAATTAAATTTGGTGAATGAATCTGGAATATAAAGCCAGCCTCTGTAATGGTAACCAAGATGATTATTGTTAATGCACTGTTTCAGAATTCATCTGTTTCTTGCCATTAGAATTGTCAGGTGGTTGTTTTAGACTGGCCAGACGCAATGAGACAAAGGACCACCTTCTGTGCTGTAGATCTCTATGACTGGTTCACTAATATCTTTTTTTTCCAACTGAGGAAGGAAATCTGCTGTCATTCTCTGGTCTGGCCTACATAAGGCTGTAGGCCCATGGCAACGTGGGCGACCCTTCGCTGTCCCGACAGGCAACAAACACTGGCCTCCCCAATGACACCCAAATTACATACGATTTTAAAAAATAGTAAACTTAATACTGTCCAGGGTCTTCAAGTATTTATGCTCTTCCTAAAAGTAATGTTTCGCTCTTTATTTATTCCCCTCATTCAAATCTTATCTTCATGATTTGAGGTAGCACGTTTCCATCAGCTTTGCAGACCTCTGACAGCAAGCCACTTCAGTTGTATAACAGCAGTCTCCATTTCTGTCACCATTGTTGCCAATCTCAACTCTAGCAATGGGACATGAGGAAAAATAGGCAGCCAGCCAGCCAGCTATTCTAATGCTGGTTCCTTTGGTCAGCTTGGCAAAACTGTAGACTGTTTGCCAATGACAGAACAAGGTTGCAGAGCTCTGAGAAGCAGTGGAATCTGGGTATCTTGGTGCATGAATCTCAAACTTTTAGAATGCCGGTACAACAAGTGATCAGGAAAGCTAGGGGAATTGAATGCAATATTGGTGGGGTGGGGAGCAGTTACGCTTCAGTAATACAAGGCAGAAACTGCATCATTTAGTTGCTGGACTTGGTGTGTCCCTTGATTCTGGACCACCTCAGCCAAGGGAAACTGCTTACCTTATCAAGCCTCTAAGAATTTGTCTGCTTCAATGAAATGACCTCTCATTCTTTTAACCAGTCTCTTCCATTGGACAATCCAGCCATCCCAGGAATCAGTTTGATGAACAATTGTCACACTCCCTCTATGGCAGATATATTCTTCCTTTGGCCACCTCCTGTATTGCATATTTTTTGTGAGTAATGTTGAGGGTCAGGAATTCTGTCATGTGTCTTCATAGGCTTACACAAGCCAGTTCTCAACCTGCAGATCTTTGGGCACGGGGAAGAGGATGTCCCAAGAGCTTGTGGGATCAAGATTGCAGGATTTGCTTCCTGTTCTTTCCTCGCCTCATCATTTGGTCGCAAAGGATGATGCAGCTTGATTAAAGAGATGCCACCATTTTGAACAGTTGGTAGCAAACTCCTCCCAGTCATTAATGTCATTGCTGCTGCACTTCAGTGAGAATTTCAGCATGAGCCCTACCTCCCCTGAGGTCCCTGATTTGCATTGGCACCATTCAAGCAACATTTTCATTTCAGAATGCTTTCTTAAACTCAGAGATGTACAACACCGAAACACACTCTTTGGCCCAACGCGCCCATGCCAACTGGCTATCCTAAATTAATCTAGTCCTATTTGCCAGCATTTGGCCCATATCCCTCCAAACCGTTCCTATTCATGTCCCCATCCAGATGCCTTTTAAATGTTGTAACTGTACCAGCCTCCTCTACTTCCTCTGGCAGCTCATTCCATACACACACCACCCTCTGTGAGGAAAAAGTTGCCCCTCAGGTCCCTTTTAAATCTTTCCCATCTCACCTTTAAACCTATGCCCTTTAGTTTTGGACTCCCTTACCCTGGGGGAAAAAGGCCTTGGCTGTTCACCCTATCCATGCCCCTCACGATTTTATAAACCTCTATAAGGTCACCCCTCAGCCTCCAACACTCCTAGGGAAAATAGCCCGAGCCTGTACAGCCTCTCCCTATAGCTCAAACCCTCCAACCCTGGCAATGTGCTTGTAAATCTTTTCTGAATCCTTTCAAGTTTCCCAACATCCTTTCTATAGCAGGGAGATCAGAACTGAATGCAGTATTCCAAAAGCAGCATAACCACCGTCCTGTACAGCTGCAACATGACCTCCCAGCTCCTGTACTCAATGTACTGACCAATAAAGGCAAGCGTACCAAACACCACCTTCACTGTAATATCTGCGACTCCAGTTTCAAGGAACGATGAACCTGCACCCCAAGGTCTCTTTCCTTGGCAACACTCCTCAGGACCCTACTGTTAAATGTAGAAGGCCTGCTCTGATTTTGAAATTTCTCCCTCCCTCTCTCTGTGATCTACTCCAGCTGCACAACTCTCTGAGATCTCTGTGCTCCTGTAATTCTGGCCTCCAGTTTAAGTTGTTTGCGTGGGCTGCAAGCATTGAAATTTCCTAAACCCGTCTGTCTCACTTTCCTTCTTTTTAAAAGCTGTTAAACCCTACCTCCTTTATCAAGCATTTAATGATCTGCTTTAACGTCTTCATTGCGTAGCTCGCCTTTGTTTAATAACATTCCTGTAAAACTGCTTGCGTTGTTGCATTAGAACTAAAGATGCTAGTTTGCTTCTAGTTCTATCTTGGGTTGTCTCCTGATTATTTTGTCAGCCTGAGGTGTCTCTTCCACTTCAGACAGCTACGGTTATTACGAAACCCTGGTTAGACTCCAGTTGGAGTACTGTGAGCAGAGCTGGGCACCACACCTTAGAAAGGATACATTGGCCTTGGAGGGAGTGAAACGTCAGTTTGCAAGAATGATAACGGGACTTCAGGGGTCAAGTTATGTGGAAAGGTTATATAAATTAGGCCTGTTTTCATTGGAAATTCACTGATCAAAGTCTTACTACTAACTGAAATGACAGGGTAGATGACAATAAATTATTTCCACTGGGGATTCTAGAACAAGGGGGCATAGTCTGAGAATGAGGGCCAGACCATTCAGGAAACCTATTAGGAAGCACTTCTACGCCCAGGTTTGGAACTCTCTTCCATAAATGACAGTGGATGCAGGATCAGTTGTTAGTTTTAAAATTGAGATGGATAAATAAATTTTTGTAAAACAAAGGCATCGAGGAATATGGGCCAAATGCAGGTATGTGGAGTCAGGCCACAGATCAGCCATGATCTCATTGAATAGTGGAACAGGCTTGAGGGGCTGAATGGCCTATTATTCCTATGATACCAGATCAGGCTACAGCCTCGGTTACTTTATGGGTGGTCAACTTTTATGTTTTTTGATTTGAGGTGGGCATGATACTGAGGAAAGCAGTTGTTGAGATGATCTTAATCTTTCAATAAAATCGTTTCAAGCACAGGGTTTAGTGAATTCTTTGAGGTGGAAGGTGGATGTTTCCAGCAAAATTGGCTCTTTCCATACCAAAAGAGGATTCCGGTATGAACAGATTCGAGAAGAGCATCTTCCCTGCTCTTCTTAGACTTTTGAACGACCCTGTCAAATGTTCATGTTGATTTCTCTCTGTATCTTCCCTGCGGCTGTAACGCTGTATTCTGCACTGTGTCATGGTGCACTCTGTGTGGTACAGCTTGCTTGTAGAGCACACAGAGCTGAATCTCGGTACATGTGATAACAATAGATCAAACTCAAATCTCCTGGGGATTGTTGTTGGGCATCTTGCCCTGTACCAACTTAAGCTCAGGAGCAAAACTGTATATCAATTGTGGTTTAGTACTTCCAAAGTTGCTGCCAGTTTGACATATAGAGTGTTTGTTGTTTCTCTTCAACGGCCTGCTGCCATCACCATTCATCAATACCAATTTCTTCTGTATGTAGACATCTGTCAATGTCTGAGGAGCCGGACTCCTCTTTTGCAGAGAACTATAGATGCTCGGCTTTGCTCTCTCGCTCACACGAAATGTGCCCCTTCTTTACCAAATGTATCCTCCTTTAGGCCAGGAGAGCAAATCAGTACTCCCACCACCTTGTATGTGGTAAAAGGTAAAAGTGATGTGTTTGATGTTTGTTCAGTCATAGATATGCAGCATGGAAATGGGACCTTTGGCCCAACTTGTCCATGCTGACCAGGTTTCCTAAACTGAACTAGTCTCCTTTCCCTGCATTTGTCCCATATCCCTCTCAACCTTTCCTTTCTCTGTACATCTTTTGAATCAAAGAGGCATGTCGGATGGAAACAGTCACTATCACCATCGTCTTAAGTCGTTGGTGGCATCTTGCTTATTCTCTGGCTTTCTTACAGACTCCAGCAGTCCACCTCTCCATATCATCCACCTATCTATTTTATTTTATTTTATTTTATTTTATTTTATTTCCCCCTCCCTCTTCTGTTTTTACCCGTGATTTCTTCTTCAGTTGGTGCCAGAGAAAAGGTCTCTGGGTCTTCTGCTACAAAGGCTGTATTTGGCTATCTTTTCTCTATCTATAGTAATCTATCCTTCTCTTCAATCTCCTTTTATTTTGCTCTTTTTCTTCTTCTCTCGTCTTTTATTCTACCTCTCTCCATCAGAGCATCTGTAGAGTGTGGAAGCAGGCCATTTGACCTGTCGAGCTCACATCAACCATCTGAAGAGCATCCCACTCAGATCTGACCCCTGCTCTATCCCTGCAGTTCCCATTGCCAATCCACCTCGTCTGCACATCCCTGGACAGTATGAGGCAATTTAGCATGGCTGATCCACCGAACCTGCACATCATTGAACTGCGAGAGGAAACCAGAGCACCCAGAGGAATCTCATGTAGACACGGGAAGAGCGTGCAAACTCCACACAGAAAGTCGCCCGAGGGTGGAATCGAACCCAGGTCCCTGGCGCCGTGAGGCAGCAGTGCTAACTGAGCTACCGTATTGCTCTGTATTTAGCAAACTTTTTGATTGCTGAACTTGTACTCTTGATGTAACACGCTCATTTGTCCACTGAGGCTGATTCTTCAATGCCAGCTAGTTCATTAACTACACCTGACCACAGCTAAAACCTGTTGAGCATTCACAACAGATAATGGGCGTGAATGCTTGCATTGTTTCAGAAATTTAGTGTGACCCATGTCAACTGGCTGACTGGCATTATAATATTGTCATTGAACTCTCTCAGTCTGGCGACCCAGGTTAATGAACTGGGGTCACAGGTTTGAATCCCAGTATGGCAGCTAGTGGATTATAGATTAGATTATAAAACTAGTGCCTATAATTGACTCTTGAAGCAGTTGGGTGCCTACAGTAAAGGATAGGATCGGCTGGGACTTCCTTAACTGGACTGCAGAAGGTTGACAGGAGACATTTTATAAAGGTTTATAGAGAAGGTGAATGGCAGGTGTCTTTTCCCAAGGCTGGGGGATTTCAAGACTGTGGGGCAAATTTTCAAGGTGAGAGGAGAAATGCTTAAATAAGATGTAAGGGGCAAATGTTTTGAGTGGTTTGTGTGGAATGAACTTCCAGAGGAAGTGGTGGATGTGGGTAAAATTAATATGTTTATTAGACATTTGGATAAGTACTTCAATAGGAAAGGTTTGGAGGACCATAAGCAGGCAGGTGGGACTAATGTGGTTTGGAATTATGGTTGGCATTGACTGGTTGGACTGAAGGGTCTATTTCTGTGAACAAAATCCTCCACCTTAGGGAAAAGACACCTGTCATTCACCTTATCTATACCCCTCATGATTTGTAAACTTCTATAAGGTCACCTCTCAACCTTCTATACTCTGGTGAAAAACATCCCAGCCTACCCTCATAACTCAAACCTTCCACTTCCAGCGACATCCTTGTAAATCTCTTCTGGACCTTCTCCAGCTTAATGACATCCTTCCTGTAGCCGGGAGACCAGAATTGGACATGATAATTCAGAAGAAGCCTCACCAACATCCTGTATAACCTTGACATGGTGTCCCAACTCTTGTACTCAAAGGTCAAAGCAATGAAGGCAAGTGTGCTAAACGCCTTCTTCACCAACCTGTCTACTGTGACACAAACTTCAAAGAATTATGTACCTGAACCCCTGGATCTCTGTTCAACAACACTACCCAAGGCCCTAGTTTTAATTATAAGTCTTACCTTTGTGTGTTTTACCAAAATGCAACACTCTCTTATTTATCCAAAACTCCCTCTTTTGCCTGTTCCTAACAGGCAATTCTTACACCTGGGTGGCAGAATATTGTATTGTCAATTGAGCTGTTCACTGCTTCAGATTCTCTGTAGTTCTGATTGTGTCCTGTCTGAGTGAGCCTGTGCAAGCTTTTGTCACCTTGAGCACTGATTAATGTTGCATTGCCTCGGCAGTTAAAATCTACACCTGACCTTCTGAGGGACCAACAAGAACTCTCTCCTGCCAGCGAAGAGCTAAGAAAGCAGCTTATCTTCAAAATACTGAAGGAAGGGTGAGTATACCACCCTGAAACTGCAATAAAAACAGACAAACCTGGAGAAACTCAGCAGGTGTGGAGAGAGAAACAGAGTTTAAGTTTTAGCACAGTGTCTGAGAGTTGGCACTCTGCGGGGTTATGTTCAGCAAGGACAGGTTGGACCAAAGTGTCTGTTTCAGTGTTATGTGACTCTATGGTAGATGCTGGCATTCTCGGCACCACTCTTATTAGTGGGTTTGATAACACTCCAGGTTAGGCCCTGCGAGAATGGGCTGCAGCCAAATTCGGAGAGAGACTGATTACAGTGGGTGAGGGGTGCAGAGACAGTAAGGCAGCTGATGTCACCTCACCAGCTCTTGAAGTCAAGAGCAGGTAAAATATTAGAGCAAGGGGTTTCTCCAGCACTACTGTTCTTATTTCAGATTTCCAACATTCACTGTATTTTACTTTCATTGAGAACTGCACTGTTATATATACTTATGAATAGGCTTGGCTCATCTTCTTTCTCTTTGGAAAGGGAGGCCTGAGGTTGATCTGGTTTGAGGGTTTTAAAAGGTTTGTATAAAATCAACACACAGAGTCGGTTGCCGTTTGCAGAGGAAGAGCAAGATGAGAAGCTGTCAACATGAGTGGCTAGTCAATCCGGTGAGGAATTAAGGAGAAATGGCTTTGGTCAGAATATCAGACATCCCCCTGTGGGAAGTTGCGGGGGGAATATGGCGCTTGCCCCCTTGGGGAGCAGGTGGGGGTGGAGGGCATGGGGAGAGGGAAGGGAACATGCCACTAGCCCCATGGGGAGTAATGGAAATGAATAATAGAGATGCATTGAAGGAGTAAGCTGGATGAACACGAGGGACAAAAGAATAGAAGAACATGCTTCAATTCCATTGCATTTTTCCTTCCACCCCACCCAAGGTTCCCTGATGTTCCTGGCCATCCCTCTTCCTAGTGTTACCCTTTTTGAACCTGAGCCCAGACTGGGAGGTTGAGAGGTGCAGGGCTTTCCTCAGGGCATTAGGCGATCGGTCCCTCTAGGAACCGTTAGACTTTTTGTTTCCATCATTTGCTCCCACTGGCCAACAGGGCGACCTGCTGTGTTGGTTTTACTCTGGCGCAAGGGGCAGCATTCCAGCCTGTTTCTGTTCTTGCCTGATGTCCATGCACTTGGACCTCCACACAGAGCGGTTACATATCAATGTAGAAAGGTGCTTTGGATCTGATTTATTTCTCTTCTCCCCCTTTCTCTAACACCTGTGCCAGTGAGGTCCATGATTAACAACTGTGGCTGAGACTTTAGCAGAGCATTGGCAATTAGGAATTTAGAGTTGCAACATTTGCCCCTAGCTTACCTCATAGATTTTGATAATCAACTTGCTTGGCCGTGTTGTGAATGCATCTTCCTTGGCCTTAAGTTTTGGGATGGGACTTGAATCCATTCATTCAGCTCACTGGTAGGGTTACTACCCACTGTCCCACAAGGCCTCCTTTCTCCTGTCTCTTTTGAAACTCTTTCTGGTTGAAGATCCTTAGATAGGTAAGTACAGTAAAATGCTGGTTATGTTCTAGGGCCATAAATTAGGCCTGAATTAATCACCTGATTGCCAAGTCAATTCCTGGATTTGGAGACTTTGTTGATTTTGGTTAATTTACTAAATCTCGAATGGGTATTAAGCTGGTGACTGTGTACCTACTGGATCATTGTTCAAAACCCGTTTAGTTCACGAATGTCCTTTTTAGGGAAGGCCTACACATGACTTCAGACCCACAGCAAAGGGGGGTTGACAACCCTCTGAAATTGATGTGGCAAATTAATCCATTCAAGGGCAATTCGGGATGGTCAGCAGATGCCCACATCTCAAGAATATCCTATTTTAGGGAAGAAAATCTGCTGTCTTACCCAGCCTGGTACACATGTGACTCCAGAACCTCAGTGATGTGGTTGACTCTTAACTATTTTTTTAATTCACTCACGGTATGTGGGCGTCACCAGCTAGGCCAGCATTTAATACTTAACTGCCCTCTGGGCAATTAGGGATAAGAGTCAACGCATTGTTGTGGGTCTGGAGTTGCATGTAGTCCAGTTATGGCAGCTTCCTTCCCTAAAGGACGTTAGAGAACCAGATGGGTTTTTCCTGACAATCAACAATAATTTCATGGTCATCGTTAGTCTCGTAGTTCTAGATTTTTCATTGAATTCAAATTCCACCATCTGCTGTGGTGGGGTTTGAACCTGGGTCCCCAGAACATTATCTAGGTCTCTGGATTAATAATTCAGTGATAATACCCTCCCCCCTGGCAGGGCACATGGTTAGATTTTGGAAGGTTGCTCGACACTGCCTTTCCAAGGGGCAGTGAACGATGGGCATTAAATGCTGAGCTGGCCAGTGACGTCCACGTCTTGAGTGAGCTGAAGGTATAGTGAGGCTTGTCGTTGGATAATTGGTCAAACTGCTTATTGTAACATTGATACTTTCCCACAGGAGTATTGAAAGTGACAGTTTCTTGAGGAAGAAAGCAAGCCTGGTGTTTGACAAATTCCAAAGCATGAAGGTATGGGACGCTGTTGATTTGATCTTGCTTGAATCCTGAACTGTAGTTAATCTGAGTGTTTTGACCTCTTCAGGCTCCATATAAATGTTGAGAAATGGCAAGCGAATGTATCCAGTTTAAACCTACGTTCCTGTTAATTTTCAACTGTTGATGCTAACGGGCGTAGTCTCCCCTATTGACCCTTACTTCCTCCCTTCATCTTTAGTGTTACAACCGTGACACTGCACAGATTTCTAACTAGAAGGTTAAAACTGTGGAATTCGTTATTCGCCTTCTCTTCAGCTCCATACAAAGGTCAGCATGACTTCATTGCAGGACTGCATATTGTCTCCATTTAAACTCTGTTTTTATTTTAATGCTGTCCCGCTCGCTCCCACCAGCCTAGCTCTCTGTCCCTTTCCTTCCTGCTGCCTTGTTCCTTCACTCTCACTGCATCCTAGCTTTCTGAACACAAGTAGGAGCAGGAGGTAGGCCATTTGATCATTGAGACTTATTTGCTATTCCAGTACGATCACAGCTGATTGGCATCGTCTCCGCTTTCGTGCTCACCTCCCATGACGACCACCACCTCCTGCCCCCAAAGGGGGCTGAACAGCTTGTCTATCTCTGCCTCGAATGTGTTCGGCGAGGAGTGCCACAATTCTTGGGGGAGAGCATTTCCAAAAATTGACAAAACCCTCTGACTCAATCATAAACTAGTGTGGAATTTAGAGATAGACAGCACGGAAACAGACCCTTTGGTCCACCTCGTCCGTACCGACACACATCCTAAATAAATCTTGTCCCATCTGCCAGCATTTGGCCCATACCCCTCTAAAACATTCCTATTCATATAACCATCCACGTGCCTTTTAAATGTTGAAATTGTACCAGTCTCCACCATTTCCTCTGGCAGCTCATTCCTTACACTCCCCTGCATGAAGAAGTTGCCCCTTGGGTCCCTTTTAAATCTTTTCCCTCTCACCTTAAACCTATGCCCTCTAGTTTTGGACTTCCCCAACCCGGGGAAAAATACCTCGTCTATTTCCCTATCCAAGGCCTGTCAGGATTTTATAAACCTCTAATTGGTCACCGCTCAATCTCTGATGCTCCAGGGAAAAAAGCCCCAGCCTATTCAGCCTGTCCCTATAGCTCAAATCCCCCAACCCTGGCAATATCCTTGTAAATCTTTCCTGAACCCTTTCAAGTTTCACAGCACCCTTCCTATGGCAGGGAGACCAGAATTGCACACAGTATTCCAAAAGTGGCTAACCAACGTCCTGTACAGACGCAACATGACCTCCCAACTCCTATACTCAATGCACTGGCCAATAAAGGCAAGCGTACTAAACACCTTCTTCACTATCTACCTGTGACTCCACTTCCAAAGAACTATGAACCTGCACTCCAAGGCCTCTTTGTTCAGCAACACCCCCCAGGGCCTTACCATTAAAGGTGTCTAAGTCCTGCCCTGATTTCCCTTTCCAAAATACAGCACCTCATTTCTTAGAATTCACCTCTTCGAGCAAGCTTTGTCACCTGTACTGGCATTACCTTAAGTGGGTCAGTGTCAAATTTTATCAGATATCCTGCTGTGAAACACCTTGGGACACTTAGTATACAAATATAAACTCAAAAGATTGTTACGAAGGTTTGGAGCCCTTTCATTAAAGCAGTATGCAAAGCTAGGAGAGTATTTATAATTCCCTGCTCCAGAATGTGGAGGATACACCAGTGAAGCACAACATAAGTTAAAGGAACAGCCCTTCATTTTCAGTTTTGGCACTTCAAGGCCATTTTAGTCACAATATGGAATTCAACAACTTAAACAACGAGCTCCAATATCTAGCCATATCACACAAATATTTCTTCCCACTTGTCAGCCCAAGCCTGCATAATGTCCTGATCGTTCTGCATTTGGACATGGACAACTTCAGGATCTGACAGCGAAACACTCTGTGTTGGCATTGGAGTGTCAATCTTGACTTCCGCTGAATTTCAAAAACACTATTGCTGATGGCTCGACAGGTAGTCTCTATAGATTTCATTTAAACTGCCCAGTTTTTGTATTCTGCACCTTAAGTTGTAAAAGCTGAGGAACCCACAATCAGTTACTGATGGTTTTCCTAAGTGCGCTGGTTATTGTCAAAAGAAATGGTAAGCAAAGTGACTTAGTTTCATGTTGAAAGTCCTGTCACCACTGCAATTTAAGTATTATCTTGGCCCAATTAGTGGGAAGCTTTGTGTTGCACCTCAATTTCAAGTTGCAATTAACAGAGGCCACCTCTTTGGTACCCGTGGAGTCATAGTCGTGCAGCATTGAAACAGACCCTTCCGTCCAACTCGTCCATTCCACCCAGATATCCTAAATTAATCTAGTTCCATTTGCCAGCATTTGGCCCATATCTCTCAAAACCCTTACTATCATGTACCCATTCAGATGCCTTTTTAAGTGTTATAATTGTACCAGCCTCCTCCACTTCCTCCTAGCAGTTCGATCCATGTGTCCATCACCCCCTGCATGAAAAAGTTGCCCCTTAGGTCCTTTTTAAATCTTTCCCCTCTTGCCTTAAACCTGTGCTCTTTGGTTTTGGACTCCTCCACCCTAAGAAAAAGACTGTGGCTATTCACCCTATCCATGCCCCTCATGATTTTATAAACCTCTATAAGGTCACCGTTCAGCCTCCAATGCTCCAGGGAGAAAGCCCCAGCCTATTCAGCCTCTCTTTATTACTCAAACCCTCCACTTCCTGCAATTTTCTGCACCCTCAAGTTTAACAAAGCCCTTTCTGTCGAAGGGGAACTAGAACTGTATGCAATATTCCAAAAGTGGCCTCTCCAATGCCCTGAGATAACAAGGTGTAGAGCCAGATGAACACAGCAGGCCAAGAAAATGAAGAAGGGTCTAGGCCCGAAACATCAGCCTTCCTGCTCCTCTGATGCTGTTTGGCCTGCTGTGTTCATCCGGCTCTACACCTTGTTATCTCAGATTCTCCAGCATCTGCAGTTCCTACTTTCTGTCCAATGCCCTGTACAGTTGCAATATGATCTCCCAACTCCTACACTCAATGCACTGACCAATAAAGGCAAGCATGCCAAACGCCTTGAGTCCTGAGGAAGGGTCACTTGATCCGAAATATTAACTCTGATTTTTCTCCACAGATGCTGCCAGACGTGCTGAGCTTTTCTAGCAATATCTATTTTTGCTGCCTTCTCCACCCTGTCTACTTGCGACTCCATTTCAAGGAACTTTGCACCTGCACCCCTCGGTCTCTTTGTTTGCCTGTAACCACCACAGTTATAAGTATTATATTGGTCCAGTTAGTGGAAGGCTTTTGAGTAGCACCTCAATTTGGAAGTGTCATTAACTGAGGCCACCTCTTTGGGCAATGCCTCAGTTGTGTGGCATTGTTAAACTGAGGACCAGTGAGCTCAATCCAAGCGGTCTGAAGGATTCCACAGTACGAAGACCAGAAGGCCAGAGTGTTGTCCTGATGCTTGCTTTGCCGTCTTAATCGTTGCAAAAGGGAAGCGTAGCTAGTTCCTCTTTCAGGAAAGTAACAGCCAAACGTGGTGACATTACCTTCACTCTGACCCCTTGTCCTTTGAATCACGAAGATTATTTTAAAGTGTAGCCTAATTTTTGCAGTGTCATTCGAGTCATGCAGCATGGAAATGGACCCTTCAGTCCAACCAGTCCATGCCGACTGTAATCCCAAACTAAACTAGCCCCACCTGCCTGCTCCTGGCCCATATCCCTCCAAACCTTTCCTGTTCACGTACTTATCCAAGTGTCTTTTAAACGTTGTAACTGTACCCACATCCACCACTTCCTCAGGAAGTTCACTCCACACGCGAACCACTTTCTGTTCAAAAAAAAATGCCCTTTTTTTTTTTAAATCTCTCTCCCCACCTTAAAAATATGCCCCTGTTCTTGAAATACACCTATCATTAACCCTATCTATACCCCTTATGATTTTAGAAACCTCTGTAAGGTCATCCCTTAACCTCTTCATCCACATTTCTCACTTTAAATGTTATCTCTGAGCTAATGATGCTTTCACTTTAATTCACACAGTATGCTGAATTATCACCTGATCTCCAGACTCTCTCTAGTCAGAACAGTGACTTGGAGAAGAAGATTGCAGAACTCCAGCATAAACTGGATGGAGAATTAATGGTAAGTATCTGCATTTACAGGAGATTCTGTGGCATGGTTGTTAGCAACCCTGTTCTGGAGCCACAGAAAATGATGAGGCCAAAACATTGAATGTTTTCAAGGGGGAGTTAGATATACTTCTTGGGGACGAAAGGGATCAAAGCGTATGGGGGAGAAAACATGAACAGGGGACACTTGGATGATCAACCATGATCATGTTGAAAGGTGAAGCAGGCCTGAGGAGCTGAATGACCCACTCCTGCTCCTAGTTTCTGTTTCACTGCTTTCTGGTTGAGGGATAAACGTTGGTGGGGGCAGCAGAGAGAATTCACTGTTCTTTGAAGTAAAGCCATGGCCTGCCTGATAGAACACACAAGGTCTCGCTGAAAAGGTGACATCTCAGAATGTGGAAAATCCACTGGGAGTGTCAGCCTATCCCATTGTCTTGACTTTCTGGGTGGGAAAACATCAACCATCTAGGGTTCAGACCTGGGAACTTCAGCTGTCCTGAACCTAGATGAAGACCAATGCCCAGTGGATAATCTACGACCTTTTTAATGATCAGAGAGTGAGGGCATGTACAGCGAGAGACACCAAACTGAGCAACCATTTGATAAGTATTTGGTAAGATCATCTGAATTTGACCATCACTCCATTTTTCCTGTCTGCCCTCCATAAGACCAGGCTCTGATCTAAAATTTGTCTCATTTAGCTTTAAAGTATGCATTGACCAGGCCACCGCTGTTCTGTGGGAGACAATTCCACAGGCTGTCTGAAATAACTCCACAGAGGCTGGTATCCTGTCACCAAGTCACCCTTTTATTTATCAGAGTCACCCTTTTATCAAAGTGCTTGACTCTGATCCATCTCCCTCAGCCAGCTCTGAGTGAACAGGATATTTGAAAATCCTGTTCTTACCTGTTAGCCAGGGCTCCCTAATTGGGGCTGTTAATCTGGTCCAATCAGGGATCTCCTATTCTGAGGCCCAAATGGTTGACCTTGTTACAACCACTACACTGTCAACCCTTTGAGAGAAGAAATGCCTCCTCATCTCCGTCTTAAATAGGAGGCTCAACCTTTCTCCATAAGGAAAGTCCCTTCATTCCAGGATACAGCCCAGTGAACCTTCTCTGAACTACTTGTGTAACCATGAAACAGTGCAGCAGATCCAACAGTAGCTGTATAATGAGAGGGCCCAGTTTCCACCAGCTTTCTAGTAGGATCTGTGTCACCTCAGGTGCTAAATTCAAGTTATTTTAGTTGGGGCAGTGCGGTGGGTCAGTGGTTAGCACTACTACCTCACAGTGCCAGGGACATGGGTTCGCTTCCACCCTCAGGTGACTGTCGGTGTGGAGTTTGCGCATTCTCCTCTGCATCTGCGTGGGTTTTTTCTGGGTTCCTCCCATAGTCCAAAGATCTGCAGTCTAGGGTGGATTGGCCTTGCTAAATTTCCCCACAGTGTCCAGGGATGTGAAGGTTGGGGTGGGTTAGCCATGGGAAATGCAGGGTTACAGGGATAGGGTAGTGGTATCGGTTTGTGTGTGATGCTGTACAGAGAGTTGGTGTTGACTCGATGGGCCAAATGGCCCACTTACACACTGTAGGAATTCTGACATCTGCTCTTCCTCTTGTAAAGGCTCCTTATTTCAAACAAGAGCAGTGGTTGATCTTCTATTCTTTCACAGAATAGGAGTATTGTTGGCCAGGCCAGCTCTTGTTGCCCATCAATAATTTCCCCTTGAGAAGTTGGTAATGAACTGCCATCTTGAACCGCTGCAGGCTTTGTGGTGTAGGGGCACCCACGGTGCTGTTGCGGTGGGATTTCCAAGGTTTTAACACTGAAAGAACAACCAAATTATAGTTTCAAGTTGGGATAGCCTGGGGCTCAGAAGGACGTTTTTGGGAGTGGTGTTCCAATGTGTTTGCTGCCTTTCACATTCTAGGGATTGGAAAATGCTGTCAGAAGAGCCTTCTTGAGTTGCTGCAGTGCATCTTGTAGATGGTATGCACTGTTGGTGAAGGTGTGAATATTTAAGGTGGAGATTCATGGGTTTCTATTTCCGAACCATCCTGGAGACTAGCCAAAACAAAATGGCCTTATGAGTATTGCATTGGCTATAAATATTCAGTGTTGCGGCTTGGTTTTGTCTTTCGTTCATGATCCTAAACTCTGTCACGTTAATCTTTCTTCCTCCTTTCCTGAAACTCACCCTCCAATACCATACAGAATCATAAGGATGGTCAGAGGAGAATTGATATGGAGGACATCCAAATGCAGCTGGAGGAGACCAAGGAAGAGAGGAACCAGCTGCACTCGCTGTACCAGAAGAATAGGAAGGAGCTCCAGGATAACATGCAAGAGTAAGGTCACCTTGTATAACACCTCTCTTTTTGTTCCTCCCATCTCCTTGCAGCGTAGCACCCACCCCTCCATGTCATTCTACCATGCAGTAAAATTAATCCTGTTGCCAGTCACTCTGTCGGGTTCAGTAAAAGCCCATGGCATGGGTGGAAACCATGTCTGGTGAAAATCCCGGTCGTCAAGTTTTCAGCCTGTGCCAAATTAGACTTGACGACTGGGATCGTTTGATTACTTTGGAAAGTGTATTTTGTGTCCTAGCAGATCAAGGTCAGCTGTTGACTTACTGCCCTGCTGTGGGGCCCTGAGTCCACATTCACATGTGACGAGCACTTACTTGAAGAGCTCACATTGGCCATGAAATCATACTTTAGCAAGCGTCTGTGTCCTCAGGAGAGGAGAGTAGGGGAGTACATGCCAACTATAGGCAACGGTTGTTCAATCTTCTGTCAGCACGTTGACATTTTAATGACCATACAGTTTAATAAGTAGAACTATGGACTGCAAAACCAAGCCATCAAAGGGTAATGCCATGGACAACTCACAGGAGAGAATATCTATGGTTTAAACTGTACCTCACCTGCATTCCACACGTTTGATTTTGGTCTAAAACTCACCACCCGATCACCCAGTTAACCAATTTGGGGGTGCCCGTGATACAGAAGTAGTATCATTACCCCTGAGTCAGAAGACCCAGGTTCAAATCCCATCTGTTCCAAACGAGAAAGATTTTAAGAAAGACACAAAGCGCAATTTTTTTTTTTTACACAGGCAGTGGTTTGTGTGTGGAATGAACACCCAGAGGAAGTGACGGATTCAAGTACAGTTAAAACATTTAAAAGACATTTAGATAAGTTCATGAATAGGAAAGGTTTGGGAGGGAAATGGGCAATTGCAGGCACGTGGGACTAGTTTAGTTTGGGATTATGGTCAGCATGGACTGGCGGACTGAAGGGCTGCTTCCATGTTGTGTGACTCATGACTTGTCATGGTATATCTGAAGAAGTTGAAAAATTAAACGAATTGAACAATAGTTTACAACAATGACAGAAGCCAAAAAGGAGGGGAAAACAACGGAGAAGCTACATTAGCATGGTGTCTCTGTGTCTCTGTTTCTCTGTCTCAAGGGTATTAATGGACACTGCATGCTCCCTCTCCAAGAGTACCCAGGCATGAGCATAGCCATGAAAGAGGTGCAGGCACATGGGATTCTTCCCTTCTCTGCACCCGCTGCTCATACCTTAGGTGTGCCAAATCCCCTGGATAACTACCTTCTATTGTGTCCCAGTCACCAGACAAAAAGCTCAGAGGTGTTTGGTCTTTTCAACAGCTTTTGAAGGTTCAGATACTGACTGGTCCCAGCTTCTTCTTTCTCTTTAATGTCCTTCTATTGCTTTCTTATTCTGCCCCTCTCTCTTCCTTTCCTGTTTCAAAACAGGATGAGTCATACAGTATAGAACCAGACCTTTTCGGTCCAACTCATCCATGCAGACCAGGTTTCCCAAACTAAACTAGACCCACTTGCCCATGTTTGACCCATGTCACTGAAACAATGTTGGAGATTGTGTTGTAACCAAAATTAGGATAAAATATAACTGTTCTATTCATTCACGGGATGAGTGTGTTGCTGGCTAGGCCAGCATTTATTGCTTATCCCTAATTGCCCCAGAGGGCAGTTAAGAGTCAGCCACATTGCTATGGGTCTGGAGTCACACGTAGGCCAGACCAAGTAAAGATGGCAGATTTCCTTCCCTAAAGGACATTAGTGAACCAGATGGGTTTTTCCATCAATGTTTTCATGGCCAGCATTGGACTCTGAAGTCAAGACTTTTTATTGGATTCAAATTCTACCATCTACCATGGCAGGGACTCCCAGTCTCTGGATTAATAGTCTAGTGATAATAACAGTGGGCCATCACCTCCTTTTAAACCAATCCATCTACTTTATAATGCAAATTCAAAGGTTTTATAACACACGCAGTTAAAGCAAAATCCCATTAATCCCAAAACCCTCCCTTATAAATTGAAAAGAAACAAGTTTTGTATCATGCCCAAAACAGCCCTGGTTTAGTTCCCAAAATACCACTCGTACAGTATTCATACAGCAGAGCCCCTGTGTTTAACACCTCCAGTAGGTTTAAGTCATTTGTGACTTCAACTTTTAGACTGGAACTGCAGGTTGCTTCTTCCTTGAGCTATCCTACACCTGCTTAAATGTATTCAGCTTTAAGTAACCTTTTCAGGGTTTTATCCCAACTTTCTGGTCTGGGGCTAGCAGTAGCTCATTGCTGTAAGGAAACCTAGTTCATTATATATCCTTCCTTCTCAGGACTACTGGTCTACACTGAAATCCTATTTCAAGGACTTCACAGAACTGTCCCACTTTAAGTTTAAAAATAAAGTGATACTAAACATCTCCCACTCTTTAAGCTGAGTGTTTCCCTCAAGCTTAAAAAAAAGTTTCAACAATCTAAAACACAAAACAATTGAAGATAAATGAAAACGGTCCATTGGTGGTGCACAAAAACCCATTCCCTCTAAAGATAGGCCTCAGAATTGTTTTAAAAGGAAATTCAGTGGCTACAGAAATTCTTGCAAGTTAATTATTTACTTCAGATGTAAAGAAAACCTACTGGTCAGTAACTGAAAATACCAGAAATACAGACTTAAGATGTATTTTTTAATAGAACGTATATTCCACAGTTTGCAAAGTAGAATGCAAGATGCTGTTGAATCCCAGAAAGGATTAGTCTGTGAAATGTATACCCCTTAAAATGTCTGTCTGTGTCTGCTTGCTATTCTGCATAAGGTAAAGGATAGGTTGGAAACACACTACCTTCTGATCAAACACCTCTTTTCTGAACTGCCATTAATACGTTCTTTAAAAAAAATTACAGTAATTGGACTTTCAAAGATTTCTGGCAGCTAGGTTAAATACAGCTGTCCATTTTTTTTTTATTATTGCACAGAATGAGCTGTGTTGTTTGAAAGGTCCTTGTTTCTTTTCCCCCCTGGTGACAGTCATAGAGTCCTACAGCATGGAGATAGGCCCTTCTGACCAAAATGTCTTCGCATGCTAACCCTGTTTCCCTGAACTTGGCCCATATCCTCCTAAACCTTTCCTATCCACGTATTCATCCAAATGCCTTTAAAATGTTGTTAATGTACCCACCTCAACCACTTCCACTGGCAGCTCATTCCATATGCGACCACGCTCTGTGTAAAATAGTTGCCCCTCTGGTTCCCATGTATTCTTTCCCCTCTTACCTTAAACTGATGCCCTCTAGTCCTTGATTCCCCAACCCTGGGGAAAAAGACTGAGTGCATTCACCCTATCCGTGCCTGTCATGATCTTATACGATCCCCTCTGTCTCCTTTGCTCGAAAGAAAAAAAGTCCTAGCTAGGAGACAGTCCCCTTCGCTACCATTCCCACTTTTAAACAAAATCACATTCACCAGAATCCTATTTGGAAACCTTTTCCAAATCTTGATCAAGCTTTTTGGAAACAATTTTTGAGCATTTGATCTGATCTTTGGCAGCATCTTCCAAACCTGCAGCCTTTAGCCCTCGAGGGACAATGACCCAGCAGACGTCTGGGAGCACCACTCCCTCCAAGCCTCATACAATCCTGACTGAGCTGTATTGACCATTCCTTTCCTGTTGCTGGTTCAAACTTTCGGGACTCCCTCCTCATAGCAGTGTGGATGTCCCTGTGCTACACAGAATATAGAGGTTCGAGAAGACAGCTCACCACCACCTACATTGTTTGAAAGAGTGCTGGTTTTCTTCAGGTTTGAAGTGGCTGACTGCAGAGAACTGAGAGAGAGTGCGGTTTAGCTGCTGCGGACCTACTGGTTTCTCCTCTTGTGGCCTGACAAAGCTTTCCTTCATCTTGTTCACAGCCCAAGCTGTTCAGGCACCTGTTGGCAGGCGGAGGACCTCTTGTCATTTGATCATTGGTCCCTAGTCTGCAAACCAAACAGCCTCACTTAGAAACAGCACCTCGTCTCCAGTTCGATTGCACATTGTTGGTATCCACAGCTGCACAGAGTTCATAAATCAAATTTCTTACTTTCAAAACATGCAGCTGTGCTTTCCCACTTCAGTCCACAGTTAAAAAGCACAAAAAGATAAGAATACCAGTCTTTACACATGAATTAAAAATACATTTTTTTAAGAAAAGCTCATCTCTCCCCAATATGATCCTCTTATTCTTCTGTCACGGTTTAACCTGAATATTATTGCATCTTCATTACTTGGTCTCTTCCCACTTAGATTTTGTTTCTTGATCTCTACATCACCCCCGCCAGAGTTTATTCAGCTGAAACTTCTCTAGTCCAATCAATTACCGACCTTTTTTGAGGCTTGAGGACCCCAAGTCCGCTGTTGCTTTGCATTAGTTTTTTTTTTAAATTCATTCACGGGATGTGGGCATTGCTGGCTAGTCCAGCATTTACTGCCCATCCCTAATTGCCCAGAGAGAAGTTAAGAGTCAAGCACATTGTTGTGGGTCTGGAGTAGTATGTAGGCCAGACCAGGTAAGGATAGTTTCCATTCTTAAAGGACATTAGGGAACCAGATGGGTGTTTCCCGACAATCGACAATGGATTCATGGTCATCATTAGTGTCTCAATTCCAGCTATTTTACTGAATTTAATTCTACCATGTGCTGTGGCGGGGTTTGAACCCAGGGCCCTGGAACAATACCTGGGTTCTGGGTTAACAGACCAACAATAATACCATAAGGCCATCATCTCCCTTCCTAGTTTATTTATCTGGTTTGTTCTTTTTTTTTTTTTTTTTTTTGTCTCTCCTTCGCTTCCCTTCCCTTAGACTGATGAAACTGAAGATGGAGAAGGAGACAATGGAGGCAGAGATGAGAGACCTGCAGGATGAAATGGCTGCCATGCACAAAGAGCTGAGAAGTAGCAGAAAATCCACCGCAGACAGTGGGGACACTGAGATTTTATCAGTACGTGGCTTACCAATATCCCTCTAAGCTGCGCAGATGCTCGGCTGCTGGGAAACTTGTGCATGTTGATCAGCGTATGCATGAATGACTTCTGGCATCGCTGCTGAGCAAGGACCTTGAAGGACAGCGCAGTGATTTGATTTATTGTTGTCACGTGTATCCATGTACAATGAAAACCTTTGTTTTGCGAGCAGTACAGGCAGGTCATAACAAACGAGACACACAGATCATAGGACAGTGTGAGGCACACAAGGTTACGACTGCACAGGAGGTGCACAAAAGCAAGGTCAACACTGGATTTACAATTAGAGAGGTCCATTCACCAGTCTTAATAACAACAGGGAAGAAGCTGTTCTTGAACCTGTTGGCGCTTGTGTTCAAGCTTCGGTATCTTCTCCCTGACGGAAAAGGTTGGAAGAGAGCAGCAGAAAACTCACAGGGAATATTGATAGAAATACAAGGAGCATGTGCAGGCTGTGAAATCATGGTGGATCTGTGACCTAACTCCCTCCTTTGTGCTATATCCCTTACTTCCACAGGTTAAAAACTATCCCCCTCTAATTTTAAAATTGTGTTTGCTTATGGGTGGGGTTTGGATCTAAACCAGGGAGAGATACTGTCAGAATAAGAGACCACTTAGGACTGAGATGAGGAGTATCTCCCTTCAGAGTGCTGAGTCTTTTGGAATTCTTTGTCCCATAGAGCTACGAAGGCTCGGTCATCAAGTATTGAAGGCAGAGATGAACATGTTTCCAGATATTAAAGATCTAAAGAGAGAGAGGGTTAGTGCAGGGAGGTAGTGTTGAAATAAGATCAGCAATTATTTAATGGGTTTGAAGGGCTGAATGGAACACTGTTCCTCCTAGTCTTATTCTTATGTTCTTATCCAGTGGTGGCTTTCAAACTGGGTTTGGCTGACTATTCATTTACAGGGTTACAGAGAAAGGGTTGGGATGGATTAGGTGCCAGTTGCTCTCTAATCGGGCTGAATGTTCCCCTTGCATGCTGTAATTGTTCTGCGATTGGGGCTGATGATATTGTGGATGTAGCACATGGACTGCAGTGTTTCAAGAAGGCAGCTCATCACCACCACCACCTTTGCCAGGGGTGGGTAATAAACACTAGCTCAGCCAGCGACACCCACATCCCATGATTGAATTTTAAATAAAATTAATTGGCTAACTCTTCCGAAGTGCTGGGGGTCACGTAGGACTGAATGGGCTCCATCCCTTCAACAGTGCTACTTCCTTCTGACAGGAGCTAACAAGGACGAAAGAGGAACTGGACATGGTTGCCACTGCAAAACAAACCATGGAAGACATCCTGAGGCAGAAGGAAAGAGAGCTGACGGCCCTGAAGGGGGTTCTGAAGGAAGAAGTGTCCAGCCATGATAGGGCGATGGAAGACCTTACAGCCCAGTACCAGAAGGATATGGAACAACTCAGGAAAAATTTTGACGATGTGTCACAGGTTGGTGAAAACATGTTCTTTTCCTTTGAGCTGCCTCCCTCACTGTTTTGCTGTGGTGATTTTAAGACATGTTGTGCTTGGAGACCCAAACTGGGAAACCAATAAGCTGATTCCTGGAATGAAGGAGTTTGTCTCGAGGGAATCTTGAACTGTTTGGGCACGTACCCGTTGGAATTTAGAAGACAGAGGTGTTCTTGCTCTCGCACGTATGATTCTGAGCAGGAGGTTTGACAGAGTGGGTGCTGCCCCTTTGTGGGGGAATCTAGGGCAAGGTGGGGTATAGCTTCAGAATAAGGTATCTCCCATTTAGGATCCTCTGACAGAAAAAATATCTCATCATTTCCGTTTTGAGCCTTTGTAATTCTGTCGCTTAGAGAGCAGTGGAGGCTGGGTCACAGCATGTATTCCAGGCTGAGTTAGACTGACTGCATTTTCTTTGTCCACTGCTAGATTTGCAAATTCATAAAACTGATGTGAGCCTTTGTTGCAAAGGGATTGCAGTGCAGGATTTAAAAAAAAAAAAAGGTCTTGTTATGGTTGTACAGGGTTTTGTTGAGACTATATCTGGAATACTGGGTGCAGTTTTGGTCTCCACATTTAAGAAAATATATACTGCACTGGAGATGTTAGACAGATGTTCAGGAAATTAGCCCCTGGGTTGAGAGCATCGTCCTATGATGAGAGGCTGACTTAAATTGAGTCAATATTCTCAGAGCCACCCAGAGATGAAAGACTACCTCACATTTGGGGCAGCATGGTGGCTCACTGGTTAACACTGCTGCCTCACAGCGCCAGGGACCTGGGTTCAATTCCACCCTCGGGCAACTGTCTGTGTGGAGTCTGCACCTTCTCCCCATGTCTGCGTGGGTTTCCTCCGGGTACTCCGGTTTCCTCCCACAGTCCAGAGATGTGCAGGCTAGGTGGATTGGCCATGCTAAATTGCCCGTTGTGTTGAGGAATGTAAAGATTAGGTGGGTTATAGGGGGATGGGTCTGGGTGGGATGCTCCGAGGGTCGGTGTGGACTTGTTGAGCCAAAGGGCCTGTTCCTACACTGTAGGGGTTCTATGATTCAATGTAGTTTAGAAGAATGAGGCTGAAATGTCCAAGGATCTTGTTAGTATTGCATTTTACCAAAACAAACAAGGGCAGAATTTTATAAACCTAGGGCCTTGAGTAGTGTTGTAGAAAGAGAGACCTACGGGTTCGGTATGTAATTCTTTGAAATTTGTGTTACAGGTAGACAGGGTTGTTAAAGTGTTTAGCACGCTTGCCTACATGGCTTAGACCTTTTGAGTACAGGAGTTAGGACGTCATGTTGAGGTTGTACAGGATGTTGGTGAGGCCTCTTCTGGAGTACTGTATCCAGTCTGGTCGCCCAGTATAGAAATTTATTAATTAGCTGGAGAGGGTTCAGGAGAGATTTTCCAGGATGTTGCTGGAAATGGAGATCGTCAGTTATAAGGAAAGGCTGGATAGGCCGGGACTCTTTTCACTGGAGGTGGGAGGTTGAGAGGTGACCTTAAAGAAGTTTATAAAATCCATAAGGTAAATGGCAGGTGTCTTCCCGCTAGGGTGGGGGATTTCACGATTGGGGACATATTTTTAAGGTGAGGGGAGAAAGATTTACTGAAGAAATAGGGGCAACGTTTTTACACAGAGTGGTTTGTGTGAGGAATGAACTTCCTGAGGAAGTGGTGTATGTGGGTACAGTTACACTGTTTAAAAGACCTTTGGATAAGTACATGAATGGGGAAGGTTTGGAGCGATGTGGGACTGGTTTAGTTTGGGATTATGGTCGGCACAGACTGGTTGGACTGTTACTGTGCTGTATAACTCTATGATCTAAAGGGGCTTGCATACAAATTAACTAAGTACAGAAGTAAATTATTTGGCCTCTCTAGCCTACTGTATCATTTGATAAGACCATGGCTGAGCTCATGATTGTGTTTTGAATTCCTCATTCTCATCTACCTCCAATAACCTTAGATTCCTAATAGGCAAGGGAATCAATCTACTTCCACCTTTATTAAAAAGTTTCCTTGATCCTACCTCCACTTCCTTCTGAGGCAGAGAGCTCCAAAGGCTGTCAACCCTCTTGTAGGGAAAAAAAAATGCCTGTCATCTCAGTTCTAAAAGGATGATTCCCTAATTTCTAAGCAGTGCCCCCCGCTACCTCCTAGTTCTGGACTTGCCGAGAAGAGGAATCGTCCTTTCCAAGTCCACCTTGCCAAGAGCAATCAGGATCTTATTCACTTCAATCATATCACACCTCATTCTTCTAAATTCTATTGGAAAGAAGCCCAGTTGTCATTAGATAACTATTAGTCCAAGCTAGTAAACTTCTGAACTGCCTCCAGTACACTTACATCCTTCCTTGGATAAGAAGGCCAAAACTGCACAAGATACTTGAGATGTGCGCTCGCCAATGCCCTGTTTAACTGAAACAGAATATCCTTCCTTTAATGTTTAATTCCTCTTGTAACAAAGGATAGCATTCCATTAGCTGCCTTGCTTGTGCTGTACCTGCGGGCTAACCTCTTATAACTTGTGTGCGAGAACATGCTTTGTACCTCATTTCTGCAATCATTCTCCATTTAAGAAATGCCTTTTTTTTTCTCCTCATTATTCCTCCTGTCATGGTGAAAATCTTTGCATTTTCTTAGATGACACTCCCACCAGCCAGATTTTTGATCTCTCACTATCCCCATCTGCCTGCTTCATTGGTAGGGTAGATGATGAAAGATTTGTTACCTCTGATCAGGGAATGTAAAGCGCAGGAGCACAGTCTCAGGATAAGGGGTTGGCCATTTCGGGCTGAAATGAGGAGGAATTTCTTGATTTGGAAGGTTGTGATCTAGAAGGAGACCCCATCGCTGAACACAATTAAGGCTGTGGTTGACGTGTTTGGTCTCTTGGGGAGTCGTGGGATATGGAGAGCATAGGATGGCAAGATGGACTTGAAATCCAGGATTGGACATGGTCACGTAGAATGGTGGAGCAGGCTTGACAGGCCGAACGGAATACTTGAACTACTTCCCATGTCCTCATCAGGCAGGTTTGCAAGGAGCAATGTGTGCTGATGATTCCAAACCTTGCATCAGAACGGTCATGCTGACTGAAATGTGATCTTACACGGAATCTGGTTCCCCTCCTCCCTCCCTTCTCTGCAGGGACCATCACTCTGAATCAGATAGGACAGACAGCAGCTCCATTGTTTTAGTTGGACCGTTGTCTGGGAGGCAGTTGGGATAAGAGACTGTGTTGCAGGAGGAAAATGAAAATGCTGACTGGCGTGGATTGGCCACTCTTGTGCATAAAAGATGTTGAACTGTCTGTCGGGGATGGGCAGACAGACCGTGAAAAGCATTGCTTCCCTTTTTATTCTCTGTGAACAAACAAGTTCTTTTGAGGCGCACGGTCCTGGTGATTAATTCCACTCCAGTGACTGCATCAGTCATTATGTTTCAAACTGAAATACACTTTTGGCCAGGCGTTGAAAAGAAGCTACATTGTTAATCTTAATGACAGTATGTCACATACATCGATTTAATAAAAAAGGCCTCTTGGGAACGGAATGGGGTAAGATCTTCAAGAAAGGTAAACGGAAGGACTCTGCTAAGCACATACTTGGTCATCTTCAAATGCCCGACTGACACCACCTATTTCCTCAGTATGTGGGTGGCAGCTGCTCAGTGTTGCATCATTTCCAAATGAGAGGAAGAACGGGTAATGTGTTTCATAATCTCTCAAATCACAGGAGAGGTGGCAAACTATATATTATGTGGCTCTGCCTTCACCGGGAGAAGTCATTTGGCCTCTCTCCTCCATGCCTATATTTATACTCTATGCGAGATTCCTCCCAACCCCTACCCCTCATTTTGTATCACACTATCCGCCAATCCATGTCGCCACTTTCCACTTCAGTGTGTCTCTCCGTCTATACTTCTCGCTGCCTCAGGAAGGCAACCAAAATAATCAAAGACCCTCCCACCCTGGTTGCATTTGCTTCCAACCTCACTAGTGTGGCAGAAGATACAAAAGCTGTATCATGTGCCCCTAACAGATTCAAGAACAGCTTCTTCCCTTCTGTTGTTAAGACTTCTGAGTGGACCTCTCAAATATTAAATTGAACATTGATCTTGCTCTTTGTGCACCTTCTCTGCAGACATTGTATTCCTTACTCTGTTCTTTTACCCTAATGCATTTTATATGGTATGTTCTGTCTGTGCTGCATGCAAAACAGAAGTTTACACTGTGTACTAGGTACATATGACAGTAATACATCAGAACAAAAATCTGCTGTTCGCTTCGACCAGTTCCTGTTGGGATGAGTCCCACATTCTCCATGCTCTCTGGGATGAAGATGTTTCACCTGAATTCCTGATTGGATTGATTGGTGACTGTCCTATGATGTTGCCCTTTCAATGTTCTGGTCTCCTACACCCCCACAAGTGGAAACAACTTCTCTGCATCTCACCTATCAAACTTTTCAGAATGATGATGGTTACAACCTCAGCTGATGCTACTACTGGACAGAATGAAAACTAATGGATCATTTTTGAAAAAACATTTAAATGATTGTCACTCACTGAAATGTAAGTATATGCAGCTGCAGATTTTCTTTAACAACGAACAAAGGTTTATCACATCAAAGAAAAAAAGCAAGCAATCTCCATATGGAACACAGTTGAAAGATCTTAAAACACACAACAACATCACCTTACAGTATGTCAAATCCAGAGAACTTATCCTTCCATATCAAATCTTTAGGTTCCAATTAGTTGCTCCTTCCTGGTTGCGTCCCGTGAACTGTGGAGTCTACTTGCAAAGAGTCATACAGCATGGAAAAGACCTTTTCAGTCCAACCAGTCCATGCTGACCATAATCCCAATATAGACTAGTCCCATCCACCTATGTTTGGTCCACATCCATCCTAACATTCCTTATTGTTGTGCTTATCCAAATGTCTTTTAAATGTTGTAGCGTTACCTGCATCCACAACTTGCTCTCGCAGTTCATTCCTGTACCACTCTGTATTTTAAAAAAAAAAATGCCCCTCATGTCTTTTTTAAATCTTTCTCCTCTCAACTTAAAAATATGCCCCCTAATCTTGAAATCCCCCAGCCTAGGGAAAAGACACCTGCCATTCATTGTATGATTTTATAAACCTCCGTAAGGCCACGTCTCAACCTCCTATATTCCAGTGGAAAAATGGCCCAACCTATCCAGCCTCTCAATATACTCAAAACTCTCCATTCCTGGCAACACCCTGTTAGATCTCTTCTGACCCCTCTCCAGCTTAATATCCTTCCTATAGCAGGGAGACCAAAGTTGGACACAGTACTCCAGAAGAGGCCTCACCAATGTCTTATACAACCTCAACATAACGTCCCAACTCCATACTCAAAAGTTCTGAGCAATGAAGGCAAGCATGCTAAATGCCTTCTTAACCAGCCTGTCTACATGTGATGCAAACTTCAAAGAATTATGTACCTGAACCCCTGGGTGTCTCTGTTCTACAACACTACCCAAAATCGTACTTTCTTTTTTAAAAAAAAAAAAAAAAAAAAGTCTTGCACGAATTCTCACGACACAGTAAACTTTCTCCCTCTCTTTTCTACTGATTCCTAACTGAATGCTTCTGATCGGGACGTTTCACGAGTTAAGCTTTTACAGCAAGCTAGGAACACAAGAACAGGCATGGCCATTCAGCCTCTTGAGCCTGTTCCACCTTTGTGAGATCATGCCTGATCTGTGGCCTTATACCTACCTTTTGGCCTGTATTCCTTACCCTATTACCATTGTTAAAGTATTAAGTGAGCTTTCCCTGTACTGTCCTCAACTCTTTGCTCAGAGGGGACCTATTTTTGCTTCCATATTCACCCACATCACTTCCAAAACTGCCCTGAAAGATTTTAATCTCTGGATTTTTCCAAGCCAAAATTGATCTTCCATTATTCTAAACTAAAAGCAAGCTAATGTTTTTTCCTATCTACTATTCCTGTTCATACGCTCCACAGTATGAACAAGAAGTCTTTTACGAACGCTCCAGGTGGTTCGCAGTCACCTCTCTGACACATATTGGATTAGGTCTCTGTGCCAGAGGACTCTGACATTGTTTTTGTTTTTCTTCTGAACCTTTTACCAAAAGTAAGCTTAGGAACTCTCTCCCTAAGCCACTATATTTCTATATCATATCGCCTTTTAAGTTGTTCTTTGAGACCTAACTCTTTAGCCGTGCTTTGACCGTCTACCATTTCCGATTCGATGTCCAGTTTTATTTTACAGGTAGTTCTCCTATAATGTGATAGTTGTGTTCTTGTGTGACCTCGTGCTATCGAAAATCGTGTGGTAGGCAAATCACTATACTTGTACAGTAGAAAGTTCGCGTTATCCAAATAGCATTCACTATTCATCAATCGTGTTACAGCCAATTTGCATTAACAAAACACATAGCAGAACTACCTGTACAACAGTCTTATGAAACCCTTTGGGATGTTTTATTCGCCTACAAGACACTATATTAAGACACAGTAATACTTTGCAGTGATTTAAGTGTTCTCTATGTCTCTTTTTGGAAATGTAGACGCAGCAGAATGTGGAGTCTGAGAGGCAGAAGATAAACTCAATGATGCGCAACCTGCAGAAACAGCTGGAGGAGAGCACCGAGGAGACCGTGCACTGGAAGGAGATGTTTCAGAAAAACCGCGAGGAGCTACGCAACACCAAGCAGGAGTAAGTTGAGTTTCTAGTGCACAGTTTGGAGGGGGAGAAGGTTCCAATTGATTCCCAGTCATCCTTGTGAAAAGCAGAGGAGAGGATTGTGTCTTCATGCGCCTCCTGGGATTTGAGCATCGGCTCCGAGCTGCCATCCAGTGGAATGCTGAGGCGATGCAGCATTCTCAGACCTGGGACAAGAGAAAGGCGTGCATTTTATTTGTGGTACCTTTCACAACCTCAGGACATCCCAAAGTGTATTACACCCAGTGTTGTGCTACCCTGCTGTAATGGAGGAAATGTCCAATCCGTTTGCCCACTGCAAACTCCCATAATGACCCAGATAATCTATTTTTAAAATTATGTTGGTTGCAGGATAAATGATGGCCGAAGAATGACACACACTTAAGACCTCGCTTCTTCCATTAGCAGCCATGCTATCTGTACAGCAGCCAGCATAATCAAAGACCCCTCCCACCCTGGTTATACTTTCTTCCAACCTCTTCCATCAGCCAGAAGGTGCTAAAGCTAAAGCACACATACCAACAGATTTCAACAGCAGCTTCTTTCCTGCTGTTATCATACTTCAGAATGGACCTCTCAAATTTTAAATTTAATGTTGATCTCGCGCTTTATGCACCTTCTCTGCAGCCGTAACATTGCATTCCTCGCTCTGTCCTACTGTCCTAATGGACTTTTGTATGGTATGATCTGCTTGTACTGCATTCAAAACGCAACATTTCACTGTAGCTAGGTACATGTGACAATTATAAATAAAATCTTATATGACCTCTTGAGGGCAGACAGGGACATCTGTTTAATGTGCATTCTGAAAAATGGCACCTCTGACAGTGCACTACAGCTTCAGCACTGACCCTCCCTCAGCACAGTACTGATGCCTGAAATACTGTGTAAGCTTCTGCAGTGCAACTTGAACCTAGTAACTGACAGGCAAGGTTGCTGCCCACTGAGCCACACCTACGTTCCTCTGGATCGTTTATTTAAATCACTTGATCAGGTGGATGCTGAGGTCAAAGCACAGACGGTACATGATTACAGAGGTTGCTCCAAACGCTTGATACTCAAACTAATCATTTTGTTTTTCCAACTTATTCCCAATCCCAGACTGCTGCAGATAAAACTGGAGAAGGAGGAATTCGACGAGGAGCTGCGGGATTTGCGAGATCGTTACTCAGTGATGCAGGATGAGGTGGACCATGTGAAACGGACCTCAGTGGATAGTACTGAGATCCAGTCCCTTAAAAAAGTATGTTTAGAATCTGATTACTTTTTAAATTGAGGTTGTTTATTTGCTGCAAGGACTTCAGATTGCGTGTCTGTACATCAATTCTACAGAGGAACTGATTTATGATGGGAGGTTGAGTAGGTTCAGCCTGTACTCCTTAAAGTTTAGAAGAATGAGAGAGACTTCATCAAAACATACAAGATTCTTAGGGGACATGGCAAAGCAGATGCTGAGCGCTCTGAAGAAGAGTCATATTGAATTTGAAAAGTTGACTCAGTTTCCCTCTCTGCCAATGCTGCCAGACCTGCGGAGTTTCTCCAGTATATTCTGTTTTTAATTTAGAACACCCATTTAAGACAGAGGAGAAATGTCTCCTTTCAGATGGTAGTGAATTTGTGGAATTCTTTACTGCAGTCGGCTGTCAAGGCCTGATCATCGTGTGTTCAAGGCTGGGGTACTCAAACTTTCAAATCAATAATGGAATCGAGGGTTATCAGAAAAGGCAGGAAAGTGGAGTTGAGAATGATCAGGTCAGCCACGATTTTATTGAATGGTGGAGCAGACTCGATGGGCTGAATGGTGTACTTCTGCTCCTTTGCCTTATGATCTTATTATGGTCTGAAATATATCATTATAATTCATTTAGCCTTGTTCTTCGACACCCTGTCAAATACATTTGCACTGGCAGCACAGTGGCTCAGTGGTTAGCACTGCTGCTTCACAGCGCTAGGGACCCGGGTTCGATTCTACCCTCGGGCGACTGTCTGTGTGGAGTTTGCACATTCTCCCTGTGTCTGCATGGGTTTCTTCCGGTTTCCTCCCACAGTCCAAAGATGTGCAGCTTAGGGTGGATTGGCCATGGAAAATTGCCCGTAGTGTTGAGGGATGTGTAGATTAGCTGGGTTATAGGGGGATGGGCCTGGGTGGGATGCTCTGAGGGTCGGTGTGGACTTGTTGTGCTGAAGGGCCTGTTTTGACACTGTAGGGATTCTATGATCCTAATCTAAATATGGCCAGGTACCTGCTGATCAGAAGATTGTTCAACTCTGGGAGGCATCACTTAACTCTAAAGCTAGTGGTCCTTGAACTCAGCCAAGTAGGCATTTGAATGTTCCACCAAGCCCCCTCCTGCTGCCAAGTTGGGAGAGAGTGAGTGTGTTCCTGGTTACAATTTTTTTTTTTCATTCATTCATTCATTCATGGGATGTGGGTATTGCTGGCTAGACTAGCATTTATTGCCTGTCCTTAATTACCCATTGGGCAGTCAAGAGTCAACCACATTGCTGTGGGTCTGGAGTCACATTGGCCTTTCCTAACGGACATTAGTAAACCAAATGGGTTTTTCTGACAATCAACAATGGATTCACGGTCATCATTGGACTCAATTCCACATTTTTTAAAAACTGAATCCAAATTCCACCATCTGCCATGGTGGGATTCGAACTTGGATCTGCAGAACGTAACCTGGGTCTCTGGATTAATAGTCCACCAGGCCATTGCCTCCCCTCTAGCAATCCCTACCCACTGCTGCACCTGGATGTTTCATTATGGATCAGTTTCTGCATGGCTCCAAAGTCAATGTGCCAAAGAGCTTTCAGGTTTTTCCTTCTGGCTACCTGATGCTCACTAACACTGTAACCCTCTCTCGCAGTTCCTTCTTGGCTGTAGCCAGCTCCTGAAAGAACAAGAAAAGACACACTTTATTTACATGTGCATAGTCCATGACACTGACTCAGCTAGCTCAGAGCCAGCTCCTAGAGTGAGCAGAGCCCCTGACTCTGCTGTTTATATCTGTCAGCCAGGACACACACACTAATTGGGGCAGTTAACCTTGTCCAATCAAGGAGCTCATATTCTGAGGTCTACCTGGCTGACCTCAATACTGGGAGGGAAAGCGGAGTGCAGGGCACAGGGCAGAGGATGCAGAGTGAGAGAAAGCACTGTATTCTTGACATTTCATTTTTCTTTCCCCCGTGTCGTAAGATAATGGACCATCTTCAAGGATGATCTTTAAAACTGACTGCTATGACCAGGATTTTAGTCATCTGCTCTTAATATCGTTCAATGTCACATTTAGTCTGGTATCAATCCTGTGGTGAGCCTTAGGCCCTTTCACTACCCTGCTGTTGGTTTCGCTCCCAAATCAGAATAGCCAGTTTGGGGGAACAGGCAAGTGATTCATAAAAACAAAATACTCTGGATGCTGGAAATCTGAACAGGCACAAGACTACAGTATCCACAAGTCCCCTGGGGAGTTAGCCCTTTCGATCCTGGAAATCCAGAGTCCGCCATTGTGGAGAATATTTCTCTCTCTTTCTCGTTTTTTTTTTTTTGTTTTACTTACCCTCTGGAGAGAGAGGCAATAATTGTGACGGCATCACGGAGAGCGTGGCAATGGCTGTGGGTCACGAGCGGTGTTAGCTAGAGGTCTGGTGCGTGAAAGTGGCTGTAGGCCTGAGTACTTCAACTTCAATTCCACTTTCTTATCTGCTCCCCAGACCCCATTACTAATTAAAAATGTCTATCTCCTTCAATTTACTCCATGTCCCAGCCTCCCCCACACTCTGGGGAAGTGAATTCCACAGATTCATGACCCTTCCTCTTCAGCAACACTCTGACCTTCTTCTCTTGTGTGTTTATCAACCTTTGGTGCATCTCTGCTGTTTGTGCTGACAGTTCCCTAGAGGGGGAGAGTTTCCTTGTCTCAGCGGGGAAACTTTCCATATAGATTTCTTTATTTTTATTTATGGTCCATCCTCCAGTTTAAACTGCTTCAGAATTTGTAAGCCACGAATTATCTTCAGTGAGTTCAGAAGCCTTAGAGGAAGGGAAGGTTGGATAGTTAAAACAGCTGCAAAGTACCAAGGGCAGTGATACCTCACAGCATTCAATGCAATAAAAAGTGACCAAATCTTCTCTGTTTCAGGAGCTGGCTACAGCCAAGAAAGAATTGCAGGAGATGGCTGGTAACATTGAGCATCAGGAAGCTCTTGTGCAACGTAAGGAGCAGGAACTGAGTGCACTGAAAGGAACACTCAACGAAGAGGCTGCCAGTCACAGTAAAGCACTCGATAAACTGAAGCACAGCCATCAGAAGGAAGTGGATATGCTAAAGAGGAGCTGTGACCTTATGTCAAAGGTGGGTTTAACCTGCTGCCTGTTCTTAATTGTCCTTCGAGAAGCCAGTAGAGAGCCATCACCTTGAAACACTGTGGTTCAACTTCTGTAGCTCTATTGGTACGTATTGAGTGGCTACCAAGAGTGGCTTGCTAGGCATTTCGTAGCTGAGCATCTGGAGTCACATGCAGGCCCTTTGGGGTAAGAATGGCAGACCTCCTTGCTATAAAAGGCATTTGTCAACCAGGTGGATTTTTACAACAATGATCATTTCATGGTCACTGTCACTGAGTGGGGCATGTTCATTCCTTCCAGTGCTCCGCATCTCGTTCTGTCTCTCTCTCTCTCTCTCAGTTTTTTTTTACACAAAGGGTGGTTTGTGTGTGGAATGAACTTCAGAGGAAGTGATGGATGTGGGTACAGTTACAATGTTTAAACGACATTTGGATATGTACATGAATGGGCAAGGTTTGGAGGGATATGGGCCACGCACAGGCAGGTGGGACTAGCTTAGTTCGGGATTATGTTCGGCATGGACCATAAGTCAGTTTCTGTGCTGTATGACCCGATGATGCTAATTGCGTGCTTCCTGTAACCCCTCAACTCATTACTAATTAAAACTCATTACTAATACTCCTTAAATTTACTCAATGTCCCAGCACACTCTGCACTCTAGGGCTGTGAATTCCACAGATTCACAACCCTTTTAAGGGAAGTAATTTCTCCTCAACACTGTTTTAAATCTGCTACCTGTTATCCCAAAACTTACAACCTCTCATTGTAGATCGTCCTGCATAAGGAAACGTCCTTTCTACGTCTACTGTCAACACCCTTTAGCATCTTGTACACCTCAATTAAATCTCCTTCATTCTTCTATTATTGGGAGTCTAGGCCTAAAGTGCTTAGTCTGTCTTCATAAGACAAGCCCCTCATCTCAGGAATTAATTGAGCAAGCTTCCTCTGAGCTGCCCCCAACGCAACTACATCCACCCACCTCCCCCCAACCCGACCCACTTTAAGTAAGGGGATCAAAACCACATGCAGTACTCCAGGTGATCCCTCCAATTGTGACTGCAAGTAGTAGGGATGCTTGAGATCGGACATTTCTAAGAACACAATAAGTAGAGCAGGCTTCAAGGGACTCCTGCTCCTGTCATTCTATGAGGTCTAAGTAACCTCGTGAATGCTTTGCACCCCACATAACCCCTGCCGAATTTTCTCTCAAACACTTTGCTTAAATCTGCCTTCACCACCTTGTCGGGTAGTACATTCTAGACCGGAACCGCTCACTGTGTGACAGCACTTTTTTAAACTAGTCACTTTTACTGCTTTTGACATTTGTTAGCATGAAAGGTAAGTAAAAATCTGACATTCACGATTAGCTTTCTTACTTAAACTGCAGAAAATTGCTCTTTTTTTAAAATAACTAAATTAAATAGCGTACAATCCTTTTATTTCTCTGGTGAGTAAATGGTGAAAGATATTAGAGTCATAGAGCTGTACAGCATGGAAACGGACCCTTCAGTCCAACTTGTCCATGCCAACCAGATATCCTAAATTAATCTAGTCCTGTTCGTCAACATTTGGAGCATATCCCTCTAAACCCTTCCTGATCATATATCCAGGTGCCTTTTAAATGTTGTAGTTGTACCAGCCTCCACCCCTTCCTCTGGCAGCTCATTCCATACATGCACCACATGAAAGAGTTGTCCCTTGGGTCCCCTTTAAATCTTTCCCCTGTCACCTTAAACCTATGCCATCTAGTTTTGCATTCATCCACCCTGGGGAGAAGACTTTGGCAATTCACCCTAGCCATGCCCCTCTTGATTTTATAAACCTCCTATAAGGTCACCCCTCAGCTCCTGACGCTCCAGGGAAAATAGCCCTAGCCTATTCAGCCTCTCCCTATAGCTCAAACCCTCCAACATCCTTGTAAATCTTTTCTGAACCCTTTCAAGTTTCACAACATCCTCCCTATGGCAAGGAGACTAGAATGAGAGGGTGGTGTTTGTTGGTCAGCGTAGACATGACGGGCTGAAGGGCCTGTTTCTGTGCTGTATGACTAAGACCCTATAAGGGTAGTGAGAGTCCAGCGGCAGAACAAAGCAGTCTTTTAACCAGCTATCTACATTCGTGATGCTCCCTTGAAAACTAACTTTTCTTTTCGTCCCTCCACTGTACTTCAGGATAAATTAAACCTGGAAAATGAGAAGGGAGCCACAGAGCAGGCCATGAAAGCAGCGGACTCCTCTCTGAAACAGTTGAAGCAGGACAACGAGGACCTAAAGAGAAAGGTATCGCAGATGGACTTCCAGATGGGAGAGTGCAGGGACCTGATCGAGGAACTGAAGTGCTCCGAGTCATGGCTGAAGGACAAGGTGGTCAGGCTGGAGGTAATCAGAAGGTTCCCAAGTCTAGAATCCCAGAACAGTTACAGTGCGGAAGGAGGTCACTCAGCCAATCACGCCTGTGGCTTCCCAGCGCTCTGCACGTTCTTATTCGGAAAAGTCCAATTCTCTCTCTTGACTCAAGTGATTCTCACCTCCCCCCCCCCCCCCCCATGCTCCCTGGCAGTATATTTCAGACCCAAACCATTTGCACCCTACACTGTCTTAACATTTTTTGCCAGTTACCTTAAATCTGTCATCTTGTTGTTAGTGCATCTACCAGTGGGAGGCACATGCAGCAAAGACAGAGTGCACATGTAATTCTCTTTGCCAGCCGAAAATTAGTTGCCATCCTGAAGCAGGAAGTTATAGCTCGAGGGGCACAACTCCTCATCAAATGTGGCTGTCCAGACGTGTTCTCCCGCTCTTGCCGCCTGCCGTAGGTGTGTCGGAAGGATTTCCAGGTCGATACTGACCCATTTACCCATGTCAGAGACCTGGCTGTTAAGTCCTGGCGTGGAACCTGCCCCTGGAGTTTCTGGCTTAAAGGCAGAGACACCAGCCACTGCCATAAGACCAGCTGGAGGCAATTTCACAGTAGGATATTGATCGTCAGTCCCAGGCAAATATAGCTGTGGCCTTCGTTAAAAATATTAATTTCATAAATATCTCCCTTTCCAACTCTATCAATATTCTTCTACCACAGTGGAATTTCTCATTTTCCCCATTTTGCTTAATTTATGCTCATTCTTCTGTCAACATTATTTCGCAAAACCTTTCCAGGAATATTGTAAAATTTCAAACCAGGGGCTGAGTAACTGCTTTTTTTTGTTAAGGGTGAGAGTATTGAGAGTGACCGGACTATGATGGCTGAGTGGTGTTAAGATCCAGATCAGCCACGCTCTGATTGTGTGACGCAAGCAGGCTCAAGGGGCTGAATGTCCTCCTCCTCTTTCGGTGTTGAGTGTATTTATATGTAACATGACTCTTCCACATCTATCCTAGGCGGAGCGGAAGCAAGTGGAACTGTCTCTGGGAGAAGCGACAGAGCAGGAACAGGAGATGGCTGTAGCCAAGAGAATGTTGGAAAACCGCCTGGAAGAAACACAGGTATAGATCACAGAGATTCCCAGTCAAAGTCTTGCTGCTTCCCACAGATATTTCCCCAAGGTTTTGTTTTCTATTGTGGGTTCAGTACTTTGTGGTGGTGAAGTTTTTAATTTTCTGCCATTCATTCAGTCATTGTTTATACAGTCCACCTAAATCCCCTCCAATTTCTCCAGCCACTGCACTGACCTCCGAGGACTGGGCATGGCAGTGGCGGAAGAAGTGGGAAGTGAACATTTTGGCATTCTCGTCAAACTCTTAGAGGGAATGTTGCAGACACCAGGGCCTCTGACTTGATTTGATTTTTGTTTGATTAATTGTAGTCACATGTACCTAAGTACAGTGAAAAGCTTTGTTTTGCGAGCAGTAGAGGCAGATCATAGCAAACAAAGACATACAGATCATAGAGTGTTTAGAGCAAGGCTTACGAGGTTACAACTGCACATGAGGTGCACAAGCAAGATCAACTTTATTTGAAGTTGGAGAGTCCATTCAGCAGTCTAATACAGGCAGAAAAGAAGCTATTCTTGAATCTGCTCTTGCCTGAGGGAAGAGAGCATTACTGGGGTGGGAGGGGTCCTTTGATGATGTTGACAGCCTTTCCACGACAACAAGAAGTGTAAATGAAGTTCTTGGATGGGATGTTGTCTTCCGTGATGGGCTATGCATACAACTTCCTGTGGTTTCTTAAGGTCCTGGACAGAGCAGTTGCCATACCAGGCTGTTATGCACCTGGTTAGTATGTTTTCTATTGTGCATCTGTAAAATTTCATGAGGTTTCCTATGTCCATTCCCACCCACCGGCTGTTGTAACCCAATGTCCTGCATTGCGCCATGCAGACCTCTTGCATTCATGGGACTCCGTCACAGTTTTGAGTGTAAACCTCGAGATCATAAAACATAGGAGCAGAAGTAGGCCATTCAGCCCATCAAGTGTGCTCTGCTGTTCAATCAGATCACGTCTGACCTGGTAGTCCACAGCTCCAATTTCCCATAACCTCAACTCCTTTACTGATTTTTTTAAACTGTCTATCTCAGACTTGACAGCCCTCTGTGGTAAAGAATTCCACAGACACTCAACCCTCAGAAGAAATTCCTCCTCAAGTCTTGCCTTAAATGGGTGACTGTTTATTCTGAGATTACTCCCTCTGTTCTGAATCTCTTCCCACAAGAAGAAGCAACCTTTCCCCGTCTACTGTGTCTAGTCCCGTAAGAGTCCTGTATGTTTCAATGCGGTCTCCCCTCGTTCTTCTAAACTCCAGTGAGTAAAATCACCATAGTCCCAGAGGACCACAGTACTGCTCTCTCTCATTGGAGAGACATGAATGGTGGTGGTTTAACCTGAGAGTTGCCACACCTCATGCAAGGGGGCGAGGTTGAGAAGGAGGGCTACAGCCCCAACCTACTCAGCCTCTCCTCCTAAGACAATCCCTCCAGACTTGAGATCAACCCAGTGATTCTTCTCTGCATTGCTTCTAATGCTGATATATCATTCCTATTGGCTGCCCCATTGTTGCAATGAGTTGTTCGAGGAATGTTTAACTTTTCTAACCACATACGAAAAGTCACCATCATCCTACCAGGGCTGCTCTGACTTTAGAGACATGACTGGTGGTGGTTTAACATAAGGGTCGTAGGTTGAGGAGAGTCCTTCATGATAACTTCAGCCGGTGTGGAAATTGAACCCACCCTGTTGGCATCACTCTGCATCACAAGCCAGCTGTCCAGCTAACTGACATCTTTAACCATATACAAAATGCCATACATAACAAGAGAAGATAGCTAGTTTAATTTGGCGGTGGGCTGAGTGTCTTGGTCCTTCCTTCGGGACAAGACTTTTGAGGCCAATGTAGATGAGAGACGTGTGTCGTGTAAGGCACACATCCTCTTCTCCTGGCTGCCAAGAGGGGGAGCTGGAGATGTGCTCCTTCCCCACAAGGGGACGGTGAGGTTTGTGACCTCATGGGGAGCCCAATATCCTTTTGGATCCTCTGAGCCATTTGGAAGTGTGTCTCTGGACCATCCAGTGACAACTGGAATACCCAACCTATTACTCATGGCCAAGATGGTACTTGGCAACGTATAGGTTTTATTGTTAAACCCCATGCTGAGTGCTCCTTAGATCCAACTATCGGATCAACCTGATCTGCCTTTCTGGTAGATCCCTTTGCACCCAGGAGTTGGGCTCTCCAGTGTGACACCACTGACCACCTTTCACTATACAACCAAAGTTGATCAGATTACTAGTGCTATGATTTCCCCTCCAATGTGGATGACCTATAACTCCAGGCTGGGTTTTTCTTTTTTCCATCAGGACTTTACAACAGGGGCATCTTGATTAAATTAACCTAGTTTAAATGTTTTGGTAAAATGTGGAATCATTGTGAACCTGGCTTGTTTTGCCAATGGGAGGTATGTGTAAGTGCATGTGTGCGAGTTTATTGAGCACCAGAACCACTGGAGCATTTCCACATCTCTGTTAGTAACCCCTTGCTTATTTGCATTTCCCGTCCACCTACCTCGCAATAAATAGCGGAACCTGAACAGGCTGACCCAAGACCACCAGGAGTTAAATGAGCGTTTCCAGGATGAGATGAGACAGAAGGATCAGCTGAGGAAGGCGAAGAACGAGCTAGAGGAGCAAAAGAGGTTGCTGGACAAAATGATTGAGAAGTTGCAGAAAGAGGTAAGAAGCTGGAGCTAGGCCATGATGTTTCTAACATCATGAGCAAATTCCTGTGTAGTGTTTTTGGAGAAGCTCAGCAGGGGCTGTTGCTTTCCTGCCACTGGGTGGGAGGGTGGTATCATGCACCAACATCTCTGGTCTAGTTATCCAAGAGGCCAAGGCTAATGCGGAAGTTCAAGCCCCCCCACACCCCCAGCTGATGGAATTAGAATTCAGTCAACAAGATCTGAAAGTAATAGTGACCACTATTGATTGCTATAAGGAAAAATGACCCTTCTGTGTGAAGTTCCCGAGAAGGATCAGGAAGCCAAAGTATTAAATAGCAGTAGCTTTTTTTAAGCAGATGTTCACTCTACAGGCAGCAAGGTTAAACTGAGCTGTTTCCCCACCCAAAATGGCCAACTATGTCATCACCTCATCATCGGACTCTTAAAGTGACAGCCCACCATGCTTGTGCACATGTACGGCCATCTGGCTCACTTATGCCCTTAGAATCATAGAGTCATGCAGCTTGGAAACAGACCCTTCAGTCCAACCAGTCCATGCCGACCATAATCCCAAACTAAACGAGTCCCACCTACCTACTTCTGACCCATGTCCCTCCAAACCTTTACTATTGATGTACTTATCGAAGTGTCTTTTTTAAACATTGTAACTGTGTGTGCATCCACTACTTCCTTAGGAAATTCTTTCCACACGTGAACCACTCTGTTTTTAAAAAAAAAATAATAATTTGCCCCTCATGTCTTGTCTTTTCTAAGTCTCTCTCCTCGCGCCTTAAAAATATGTCCCCCTTGAAATCTTAAAGCCTTGAAATCCTAGGGGAAAAGACACCTACTGTTAACTCTACCTAAATGCCTCATGATTTTAGAAACCTCTATACAGTCACCTGTCAACCTCCTTATGCGCCAATGAAAAAAGCCCCATCCTTTCTTTTATAACTCAAACATTCCATACCCAGCAACATCCTGGTAAATCTCTTTGAACTCTGTCCAGTTTAATGATATCCTTCCTTTAAGACAGCGACCAGAACTGGACACAGCACTCCAGGAGAGGCCTCCCCATTGGCCTGCACAACCTCACCATGACGTCCCCAGGACGTCCCAACTCCTATACTCAAAGGACTGAGCTAAATGCCTTTGAGAAATCTGCTGACTTTACCTGGTCTGGCCCTATGCATGACTCCTGACCCAAAGCGATGCAGTTGACTCATAACTAATCCTCCAAAACGGCTCTAGCAAGATGTCATTGAATTCAAAGACAGTAAGGGATGGACAACAAACACTGGCCTCGCTGTTCCCTTCTAGGCGAATAAATGAGCCACCCCTTGGACTAATCTAATTGTGAGCAACACCTGCAAAACGCCCATTCACTGTTGCCCTGAGAAGGTGATGACAACATTGCCCAAGGTTATTTTTAACACCGAGTGGCTTGTTGGACCAGTCAAGGCAGGCTGCTGGACTGGTGTGTCACCCAGCCAGTCGGAGTCGAATGAGGAAAGAGTTGGATTTGTTTGAGGTAGCTGGTCCTTTTTTATTTCTAGTCATCCCTCACATTGTGACTAAACCCTTTTTACCACTACAAACCACAGCCTAAAATTATAGCACAATGCAGCAAACAAGAAGACGATTGCTCTCATGATACCCATGCATAGTTTTTGAAGGAGCCAGTTAATCTGTTGAGATAGAAAAGTTGGGGTAATAAAGAGAAAGAAAAGCAGAAATTCCTTTTTGATTGCATCATTGCCTCTCTACCAACCAAGCCATCTAGTCAATCTATAACATGAATTCAATAGCGGTCCAGTACTTTTATTAATTTATTCATTTATCCATGGAATGTGGATGTTGCTAACTGGGCCAGCAGTTGTTGCTCATCCCTAATTGCCCCTTGAAGGGTTTGGTGGGTCACCACCTTGAACCACTGCAGTGCTGTGGTGCAGGGGCACCCACAGTGCCATTTGGGAGGGAGTTCCAGGATTTTGACCTGGTGACAGTAAAGGGACAGCCAATTATATTTCCAAGTCAGGAGGATGTTTGGCTCAGGGGAGCTTGCAGGGCATGGTGACCCTGTGTATTTGCTCCCCTCATCGTTTTGGGTGGCAGAGCTCACAGGTTTAGAATGCGCTGTCTAAGGAGCATTGAATTTCTGCAGTGTATCTTGTAGATCGTACACACTGCTGTAGCTCAGCCGGCTTTCTGTGCTGTAATTTCTATGCAGTCCTTCCTGATGCCAGCCCACGAGTTTCTGGAACTCCATTCCACCCTGTAACACAGTGGGGTTTTGAGCTCTCAGCCTCTCAGGTTGTTGGTCCTGTTCTGGTGAGACCATGTTGGACATCTGGGGAGAAAGTTGGAAACTAACTGGCCAGAAGTCCTTCTCCAACAGCAGTAACTTGCACTTTGTTTGATTTATTTTTCTCTCTCTTGCCCATTACAGGTGGACGAGGTCTCTAAGCAGTCAGGGAACTCTGTGGTCATGCTGCAGTCCCAGTTGGACGAGTACCGGGATAAGTCACGTCGTGAGTTAACGGATCACCAGAGGCAAGCAAAGGAGAGGGTGTTGGAGCTGGAAAAAGCAAACGCGACCATCAAGAGGTTACAAGATGAGGTACTCTGCTTCTCTTGCGCTCCTCGTGGATCCCTGCGAATATGCTCCTGAACATGGCTGAATTGCAGTCTGATGTTGAGCAATGGCAGGAATCACGCTTATTTCAGGGCCAGCCCCTTCTGAGCCAAACCAGGTTATTTATAAGTACGTAGAACTGCATTGGAGGTCTTGGGATGCAATGGGTCATGTGCTAGAGATCTACAGCACAGAAAACGGTTCTTCAGCCCATTGAGTCTGGGCTGGTCAAAAACAAGCACCTAATGATTCTAAACCCATTTTCAAGCATTTGGCCCATTGCCTTACATGACATTACAAGAGCACATCTAAATACTGCTAAACTGTTATGAAGGTTTCTACCTCTACCATCCTCACAGGCAATGAGTTCCAGATTCCCACTATCTAGGTTCAAGTCTTGCTTCAGGACTTGGTGACCAAGGGAGGTGCATTTGTAATGAGGCCAAACAGGCTGAGTAAAACAGCCTGTTTAGAATCCTACAAATCCACTTGATTGGTAAGAACAGAAGGTGATCTTGGAGAGTCATGCTGCAGAAAGTGGTGGTCAACCACCACAAGCATAAGTGTGAACCAGTCCAGTGGAAGTCCATGTTCGCAATGTCCCCTACATGCATGGTACCAGAGGAGAAAGGAAAGGTGGGATCAGTTTGGTAAATGTGGCAAACCACCATTGTGCTTCAGCATCTCCAGATGAACTTGCACAAGTTTCTGTTTCCCTGAAACCTTTTCCTCTTTAAAAGAGGGACCACATGCCCAGGCTATTTAAGCACAAAACTAGCAAAGGCAAAGTTTGGGACCTTCATTCGTCTTGGGCGTTTCTTCCTTTTATTTTGTTTCTTCATCTCCCCGCACTTCCTTATTCCTGGAGCAACTCCCTATTAATTTCTGCATGGCAGTACCTCAACTAATCAGCTCACTTCTCCTGCAATATAAATTGTTACATTCATTTGACTTTGGATTTCATGGGAAAAACAGCAGAGCTGGTTGTTATTTAAATCAAGAGGGATTACAGAATGCTGCAGTATGGAGGGATCTGAGTGTCCTTGTACATGAATCAGCAAAAGTTAACCTGCTGGTACAGCAAGTAATGAAGAAGGCAGGTGGAATGTTGGCCTTCATTGCAAGGGATGGGGACAGAGAGGATAGATTATAAAAGTAGGGAAATCTTGCTACGACGCACAGGGCGTTGGTGAAGCTACACCTAGAGGACTGCACACACATTTAAGAGGGATTGGAAGAAGTTCAGAGAAAGTTCACTTGACTGATTTGTTGGGATTTAAGGAGCTTGTCTAATGGGGAAAGGTTGAGCATGTCGGGCCTTTATAGAATCATAGAATCTGTCCGGTGTGGAAGCAGGCTGTCGAGTCCACACCGCCCCTCTGACCATCCCACCCAGACCCACCCCACCCTGCCCTATCCCTGTAACCCTACATTTTCCATGGCGAATCCACCTAGCCTGCACATCCCTGGACACTGCAGGGCATTTTAGCATGGCCAGTCCACCCTAACCTGTGCGTCTTTGGACTGTGGGTGGAAACCGAGCACCCGGGGGAAACCCACATAGACAGAGGGAGAATGTGCAAACTCCACACAGACAGTCGCCCGAGGGTGGAATCAAACCTGGGTCCTGAGTGCTGAAAGGCAGCAGCGCTAACTACTGAGCCACCGTGCCACTGAAAGATTTTCATAGGTAGGGTTGATAGAATTTTGGACAATAATGATTGAGCGCGATAGGTTTGATAGAATTATATGGGGAGGTGATGGCCTAGTGGTATTATCCAGAGTGTTTGTTTTTTTTTTGAGGGTTCTGGGGACCCGGGTTCAAATCCTGCCGTGACAATTGGTGGAATTTGATTTTGATAAAAATCTGGAATTAAGAGTCTAATGATGACCATGAATCCATTGTCGGATAAACCCATCTGGTTTGCTAATGTCCCTTAGGGAAGGAAACTACCATTCCATCTGACCTCCATGTGACTTCAGACCCAGAGCACGGTGGTTGCCTCTGGGCAATAAATACTGACCCAGCCAGTGATGCCCTCATTCCACGAATGAATTTTTAAAGAAAAAATTGAAGGCATCAAGGAATACAGAGAGAATGCAGGAAAGTGGCATTTCAGACCAGCTATGATTGCAGAACAGCTCGAAGGGCCACTAACCCTTGCCAGTTGAGCACTCCTCTAAAACCATGAAGATAATAAACACACTCAATTGTGATCTGTTGCACACTCAGTTGCTGCCACTAGATGGTAACACAGGTAGCTGATTCAAGGTGTGTTAACTGATTACTGCTCGAGTCTGAGTTGTTTTGGCTATGTATTTGTTTTTCTTTTGTTATTGTATGGTGCTGTGGATAGGGACTGCGGAGGTTCCAGTGCTGTGCAATTCCCAAACATTACGGCTGACTTTTCTGGTTCAAATATCCTGTGCTGTTCCCATTTTGTCCAAATCTCTCATTGATCTTCCAACGACTGAGCTTCCACAACTGTCTGGGGTAGAGACGCACCACTCTGAGAGACAAATGTCTCCACTATCTGAAATGGGCAGAGCTTTTTTTACCCTGAGATTGTGACCTGCTAGACTGGTTCATAGAATATCATAGAATTCCTACAGTGTGGAAACAGGCCATTCAGCCCAACAAGTCCACGCTGCCGTTCTAGACCACCCCACTCAATCCAAGGGTAACAGCCTCTCAGCATCCCTTTAAGAATTGTGCAAGTTTCAGTTGGATCATCTCATTCTTCTTGGCTCTAGATATCTTTCCTTTATAGAGTCATACAGGATGGAAAGTGACCCTTCAGTCCAACCAGTCCAAGCCAAACATAATCCCAAACTAAACTAGTCCCACCTACCTGCTCCTGGCCCATATCCCTCCAAACCTTTCCTATTCATGTACTTATCCAAATGTCTTTTAAACATTGTAATTGTATCTGCTTCCACCACTTCCTCAGGAAGTTCATTCCACACGTGAACCATCCTCTACATAAAAAAAATTTGTCTCTTTTTTATGTCTTTTTTAAATCTCTCTCCTCTCACCTTAAAAATGTGTCCTCCAGTCTTCAGATTCCCAACTACCACCAACTCTATCTCTACCTCTCATTATTTTATAAACTTTTATCAGGTCACCTGCCAACCTCCTGTGCTCCAGTGAAAAAAGTCCCAGCCTTTCTTTATAACTCAGACCTGCCATACCTGGCAACATCCTGGTAAATCTCTTCCGAACTTAATAATATCCTTACTATAACTGGGTGACCAGAACTGGACACTGCTCCAGAAGAGGCCTCACCAATGTCCTGTACAACCGCAACATAACATCTGAACTCCCATACTCAAAGGTCTTAGCAATGAAGGCAAGCGTGCCAAATGCTTTTTTAACTATCCTGTCTGCATGTGATGCAAACTTTAAAGAATTACGTACATGCGCCCCTAGGTCCCTCTGTTCTACAACACTACTCAGGGCCCTACCATTAATTGTATAAGCCCTACCCTTGTTTGTTGTATCAAAATGCAATACCTCACATTTGTCCAGATTGAACTCCATCTGCCACTTTCCAGCCCATTGACCCAATTGATCAAGAGCTCTTTGTAATCTTAGAAAACCTTCTTCACTGTCTAAAACACCACTAATTTTGGGGTCATCCACAAACTAACCATGCCTTCTATATTCTCATCCAAATTGTTTATATAAGTAATAAGCCAGAACCGATCCCTGTGGAACATCGCTGGTCACAGGCCTCCAGTCTGAAAAGCAACGCTCCACCGTTACTGTCTGTCTCCTGCTGTTAAGCCAAATGCCATGTGACTTAACTTTACTAATTAGTCTACCAAGTGGAACCTTGTCAAAGGCTTTACTAAGATCCAAGTAAACAACGTCTACTGCTCTGCCATCATCAACCTCTTTGGTAACTTCCTCAAAAAACTCAATCAAGTTTGTGAGACACTATTTTCCTTGCACAAAACCATGCTGACTATCCCTAATCAGTTTTTACCTCTTTAAATGTCCATAAAGCCTATCTTTTATAATCACCTCCAACAATTGACCCACAACCGAAATCAAACTCTCTCGCAGGTCAATAGTTCCCCAGTTTCCCCTTGCAGCCTTTCTTAAACAATGGTACAACATTAGCCACCCTCCAGTCAACAGTCACCTCACCCGTAATTATAGATGATGCAAATATTTCTGCAAGGGGTCTCATAATTTCCTCCCTTACTTCTCACAACATCCTGGGATACATTGGATCCGGTCCTGAAGATTTATCCACCTTTCTGAGGAGCACGGATGTCAATGGCAAGGCTGGCATTTATTGCCCATCACCAATTGCCACTTGAGAAGGCGATGAGCTGCCACCTGTGTGATGCAGGGACACCACGGTGTCGCTGGGGGAGGGATCTGCAGGATTTCAACCCAGCAAACGTGAAGGAATGTCCAATTGTAGTTCCAATTCGGGCTGGAGTATGAGCTCCTGTGAGCCTGCTGTCTTTGTTCTTTTCAGCAGACTGGTGCTTGTGCAGGAGTTAGAGTTCACGGTGTGATGAAGAATTAAAAGTCTTCGTTAAATTTGTACATGTAGGGGGATTTGGAAGAGATCGAGCAGTTGGACAGCCGTGGGTATAGCAGGGACCAGTCCAAGGTGCATGAAGGATCTTCAGATCCCAGATTGGAATGGTCACCTGTATGCATCAGCCAGGGTTAGAGGGCAAGGTGATAGTGCCAACCCAGTCTTAAGGACCAGGGCAGGGTAAGCACTGGAAACAGCGTTTCCATCCCCAGGCTTTGTGAGCAGGGCTTTTGACTGTCTTCCATCCAGCAGCTGCAGGTGTTTATAAACAGCTGTTCCCATTCCAGGCTGGGCGTCTGAAACAGGATCTGCAGCAGAGCAATGCAGAAAAGGAGAACGCACTGCTAGACAAAGATCTTCTGGGGCAGCGGCTGCAGAACCTGGAGCAGGAAATGGAGGCCAAGAGACGCACGCAAGACGACAAGTTGCGAATGGTTAAAGTTCTGGAGGTCAGTGTAGGAGAAATATTGAGTTAACAGCACTGTTTGATTATTTTATTCCTCCTTCTGTACGTGTGTGCAGGATTGTGAATTCCAGACCGCTATTAAGAATCTCAACATCAATTACCAACATAGTGTAACAAACCCGGCAAATCTCATCTGATCATTAGAACAAGAATACACCATTCGGCCCATTGAGCATGTTCTGACATTCTGTGAGATCATGGCTGATCTGTGGCCTAACTCCATAGACCTGCTCCTGGCCTATATCACTTAGGGTTTTGTTAAGCAAAGGTACCATCTATCTCAGGTTTAAAGTTAACTGAATCCAGCATCCACTGCCATTAGTGGAAGAGAGTTCCAAACCTCTGCCACCATTTGTGTGTAGAAATGCTTCCTAACATTTTTTTGCTGAATGGTTCCGCACCCCCCCTACCCCTGGTCCAGAATCCCCAATTAGTGGAAATAGTTTATCTTTATCTACCCTGTTAATATCTTGAAAACTTCGATCAGCTCACCCCTTAACCTTCTCAATTCTAGGCTGCTCTGCTGTTGATGGACAGTCAGGGTTTGTCTGGCCTGTGTTCTTGCCAATGCTCCCTTGTGGCCTCTGGAGAGCCAAGACAGTTTGTAACTTGATTTATTTCCTCCCTGTTGCAGGACAAGATAAAACATCTGGAACTGGAACTGGATGAAGAGAAGAGCAGTGTGGACCTTCTAACTGAGAGAATCAACAGGAGCAGGGATCAGGTAGAGTGTGATACTCATGAAACTCTCAGCAGCTTGCCAGGCACGACCTGAGTGGAATAAAACTTATGATAGCTGTGTGTCTGACCTGATGCAGAACTTCTTCAACAGGGTTCAGAGTCTCCTAAAATTGAAAGGGCTCAAAAAAGAGTTACAAGGACGTTGCCAGGGTTGGAAGGTTTCAGCTCTAGGGAGAGGCCGAATAGGCTGTAGCTATTTTCCCTGGAGCGTCAGAGGCTGAGGAGTGAGATATTTATGAAACCATGAGGGGCATGGATAGGGTGAATAGTCACCGTCTTTTCCCCACGGTCGGCAAGTCCAAAACTAGAGGGGCATAGGTTTAAGGTGAGATGGGAAAGATATAAAAGGGACCTGAGGGGCAACTTTTTCACACAGAGGGTGGTGCGTGTGTGGACCGAACTGCCAGAGGAAGTGGTGGGAGCTGGTACAGTTACAACATTTAAGAGGCATTGGGATGGGTACATGAATAGAAAGGGTTTAGAGGGATATGGGCTAAACGCTGACAAATGGGACTAGATTAATTCAGGTTATCTGGTCAGCGTGGACGAATTGGACTAAATAGTCTGTTTCCATGCTGTATGACTCGAAGTGTGGCAGAATTCCAATTTCTGATATTAAACAGACCTTGCTTGACCCAAGTTTATTCAGGAATAATATCATTCAGATTCAGTGGCCTCTGTTCTGGCAGTTCTACATTCAAACCAGTTATTTTCCCTCTTCTGCTGTCTGCCCTCTTTTTAGACAGATATCGGACTTAAGAGCAGGAGGAGGCCTTTCAGCTGCTTGAGCCAGATTATAACTGATCTGGTTGTGGCCTCGGTTCCACTTTCTATCTCTTCTCCCCTCCCAATATCCTTAGCCTCCCTTGTCTATCAGAAATCTGAATAAATCTGAAATGCCAGCCACACCCATGGTCTGAGGAAAAGAATTGCACACTCGAACGATCCTCCCCTCGACTTTCCCAAAGCACACCCAGCTGATCTCCCACATTGTAACCTCTGTAAACCTGAGGTCCTTCAAAACCCTACTACACATTACTGGGCATATGTCAAGTACCGACCCCCACACCTCACCCCTCTGTGCTTGCTGACCTGATTTTGATTTTAAAATTCTCATCCTTGTTTCCAATTCCCTCCGTGCAAAGTACGCTCGCTCTGAGGTTAAAGTAAGGTTGTCTGTTCGTTTCACTTTCCATGTGAAAATTCAGAAGTTCTGCCAAAATCTTTAACTGGTTGCAGCTGCCTCCTGCCAACGCCCAGGTGTCTGCACTCCAGTTCAAACCAGTGTTTACTCCGGTGATTTTGTCGGGGTGTTGAATTACGGCTCAGATTTTAATTCTATCCTGAGGCACCATCAGGTGTGTCCGAGGCATTTTTGACAGCTGAACCTTCATGGAGTCAGAAGGGTGGAGACCTTTTGCATCAGCTGACTCAGCATTAACCCTCTGGAACATATCAAACCAGTTCCGCTGCAACCTCCCCTTCTGTGACCACCCATGACCACTGTGCCACTAGAGACCTCCTACTTGCTCAAGATATTGAACCAAACAATATCCTCCAGCTAACCTTAATAAAATGATTAACATAACATTAACACTTGTTCTCCTCCCCCCTAGTGCTGCTGAATCAGACTAGCTGCTGCTTAGCTGGCCAGATATACATGACCATATCAAGTCCTGCTGTTGTGTTAGCTTGGCCCACCTCATACATGCAAAATCAAACTAGTGTGGATGCTGGAATTACTCAGCTGGTCAGGCAGCATCTTTGGAGAGAGATAATTAATGTTTCAGGTCAAGGTGACTATCCGTTGGCACGTACTTCCACTTAGCTGCCAATTCCTTCCTCCCCTTACCAACAGTCTCAGATTAAGCCAGTCTGTACATAAGCTAGGTGTCACGCTTGACGCCGAAATGGGCATCCAAACTTGTTCTTGCTATCATAGAGACTGCCTGCTTCCACCTAGGTGACGTGGTCCACATTTCAGAAAACCGCACTCATGCCTTTGCCTCCTACAGCTTTGACTTTCCCAAAGCACACCCGGCTGATCTCCCACATTGTAACCCCCGTAAACCGGAGGTCCTTCAAAACCCTGCTACACATTACTGGGCATACGTCACGTTCTGACCCCCTCTCATCTTCCCCTGAGCTTGTTGCCTGACCAGGTCAACACTTTAATTTTAAAATTCTCACCCTTGTTTTCAAATCCCTCCGTGGTCTTTGCTCTCCCGTTTCTGTAACCCTGTGCACCCCTCCCTGTGTCTGAAATCTCCCATCCACCCCTCTCCCGGCAAACCCTATCTTTGTAATACTCATACGCCACTCCGTGTCTTATAATCCACGTGCTTCTCCCTGTCTTTGTAATGTCCAAAGACCCTTCCCTGTCTCTAATTCTACACCCCCTCCTCCCTCCCCATGCGCTCCCTGTCTATGTAGTCCACGTACGTGCTTCTCTCACCCCTTCCCCTGGCTGTAGTTCCCTGTGCTGCTTGATGGGTCTCGGCCCGTGTCTGGCAGGGAATATTTCACGATTAGACATGTTTATCATTGTGTGTGACTCATGTTGGACATCGTATGAAAATTCCATGGCCACTATCTCAGCTCACTGAATACCTGATTAGTATATCAGGAGGCACTCTGTGCAGGCATTTCAGCGAGCTGTTTAAAATAATGAATGGTTTTTGATTGCATGAGCACTGAGAAACCATCTCCCGAGGCTGAAGGACCATAGGGGACCTAAAAGATTAGAATCCCTAATGTGTGGAAGCAGGCCATCTGATGCATCGAGTCCACACTGACCCTCTGAAGAGCATCCCACCCACCCTCAACCCCATAATCCTGCATTACCCATGGCTAACCCACCTAGTCTGCACATCCCTGGACACTAGGGGCAATTTGCCATGGCCTATCCACCCTAACCTGCACATCTTGGGGTGGCACGGTGGCCGAGTGGTTAGCACTGCTGCCTCGCCGCAATAGGGTCCTGGATTCGATTCCAGCCTCTGGCGACTGTCTGTATGGAGTTTGCACATTCTCCCTGTGTCTGCGTGGGTTTCCTCTGGGTGCTCCAGTTTCCTCCCACAGTCCAAAGATGGGACGGTTAGGTGGATTGGCCATGCTAAATTGCCCCGTAGTGCCCAGGGATGTTTAGGTTAAGTGAGTTAGATAAGGGAAATGCAGGGGTGAGGGAATGGGTCTGGGTGGGATGTAATTCGGAGGGGCGGTGTGGACTTGTTGGGCCGAATGGCCTGTTTCCACATTGTAGGGTTTCTATGATCTTTGGACTGTCGGGGAAAACCTCCGCAGACACTGGGAGAGAATGTACAAACCCCGCACAGACCATCACCCGAGGGTGAAATCGAACCCGGGTCCCTGCTGCTGTGAAGCAGCAATGCTAATCGTGCCACCCGGGGGATCGGTTTAAAAATAAAGAGGATGCCACCTCGGTCTGAGATGAGAAGAAACTATTTTACTTAGAGGGTTGTGAACTTCTGGAATTCTCTGCAATAGACCATTTTGGAGGTTCAGTCTGAGTTTGTTTAAAGTAGAGGTTGACAGATTTCTGATTACCAATGGATTATGGGGGTGGGGTAACTTTTTAGTGGCATTGAAGTATTTGGATAGCCATGATTCTGTTGAATGCTCGGGCAGGTTGGATGGGATGAACTGCCAACTTCTGCTCCTGTAATTGTGCTGAAGATTACTTCATTTAAGACTTGATGAATGGAATGGCTTCTTTCACTGGTCGCTACTAAATAACAATGTTAACATCAACTGAATACAAAACCAAAGGTTCTAGCAGTTTAGGGATTTAATGGTTTTTGTAATAGCCTACAATAACCCAGTGCAATTCATCGTCAGGTGTATGAGGAGCTAGTGTATCACATCCAAATATCTTGCAGATAACAAGGTGTCGAGCTGGAGGAACACAGCAGGTCAAGCAGCATCAGAGGAGCGGGAAAGCTGACGTTTCGGGTCTGGACCCTTCTTCAGAAATTGTTCTGAAGTTTCCTCACCAAGTCTCTACACCTTGTTATCTCAGATTCTCCAGCATCGGCAGTTCCTACTATCTCCAAATATCTTGCAGGGTATTTTGTAAAGCCACATGTGACTAGCACAAGCTTTTGTAAGCACTGTTTACTTGGTTGGGTTGGTCCAGCGCACCATTGAGTGGGACCCAAACAGAGCCCAGCATTGCTTTGTAAACCTTTCACCCCTACTACAACCTGCCTTACTGTGCAGTCAGTGATCTGTTCACGACTTGAGGGTAAAGTAATGTGGATGTTGGTTATCACCACCAACTGAGGACCTTCCTGTAAAAAGCTCATAACCTAACTAGGGGAGCGGATGACCTTGCGGGATGGTAATCCACTAATCCCAGGTTTAATTTATCTTAAATGCTTTCCTTCATAGCTGTGACATTGCTGGTAAAGCCAGCATCTGTCGTCTATCCCTGCGTCGTCCTTGAATGTAGTGACTTGCTAGATTAAAATTAGGAGTGATCTATCTAAGGTAGACAGGAAGGAACTTTCCCTTTAATGGAGGGATCGATGACCTGGAAGCGTAGATTTCGGGTAAGGGACAGGAGATGCAAGGCAAATCTCTTTCTCTGCAAACGCTTGTGGCAGTCTAGAACTGACTTTGTGTAAGGGCGGTGGAGGTAGAAACCCTCATAACATTTGAAGAAGTATTTAGATGTACGCATGCAATGACAAGGATATGGGCCACGTATGGGAAAATGGGGTTAGAATTTTTAGGTAGCTATTCTCGTCTGGCACAGACTCAATGGGCTGCAGGGCCTTTTTCTGTGCTGTTGACCTTTCTATCTCTCTGCCTATATCAGACCAGAGGGCAGTTAAAAGCCAACCCTTTTGCTGTGGGTCTGGTGTCAGATATAGATCCAGCCAGGTAAGGATGGCAGATTCCCTTCCCTAAAGGACATGAGTGAACCAGATTTACAACGATGGATGATAATTTTAACAGTCACAGCCACTGAACCTAGTTTTTAATTCCAGCTTTATTAATTAAATTTAAATTCATCGGTTGCCATGGTGGGGACACCTGTTCAAATCCCACTCCAAACCAGAATATAAATTCAAATGATTCATAAATTTTAATTTTTTGAAGTCTTGTTATGGATCAGACCATACCCCTCAAAATATATTATGAAGGTAGCCTAGACCCTATCTTTTTCTTATTTTAAAAGGGTAATGTGTGGTGCTGCGTTCCAGATGCAATTCAATTGGTCAAACTACTTGACATTTAAGTGCAAAACAATTTATTCAAACTCTATAGTTGAAACACAACAAAAGAAAGAGGAACTTGGCATAATTTAACTCAACTGGAAAACTTAACAGAATAGTAGATCATTTTACTACTCAACAGTAATTGTTCCAATATAGTAACATCCTATAAACGCACCCTTAGCAAATGGGCACATTTAGAAAAACAGTTTTGTGTCACATGCATTTCTCCAGTCCAGGAGGAAAGAACATAAAAAGACAATTCTGAGAGAGTATAGCAGCAGAGAGATTCACTCCCTTCCAACCCTGCTGAGACCCTAGCAACAACTGCTGAAAGCTTGACTACACCTGCTTCAGGCTACTTGTGTTGTTCCAACCTTTTTTAAACAAAAAAAAAACTCAAGGTCTCAAGTTGTTTATTTTCTCATAGACTGCTCGTCATCTGTCCTTCAATCTCTCTGTCTGTTTACAAAACACACCTCTTACAGCATTGTCACAACCTACTTGGAATAACGGGGTGGTGCAGTGGCTCAGTGGTTAGCACTGCTGCCTCACAGCGCCAGGGGCCTGGATTCGATTCCACCCTCTGGCAACTGTCTGTGTGGAGTTTGCACATTCTCCCCGTGTCAGCGTAGGTTTCCTTCGGGTGCTCTGGTTTCCTCCCACAGTCCAAATATGTGACGATTAGGTGGATTGGCCATGCTAAATTGTCCATAGTGTTCAGGGATGTGTAGATTAGGTGGGTTAAAGGAGGATGGGTCTGGGTGGGATGCTGTGTGGGTCAGTGTGGACTTGTTGGGCCGACGGGGCCTGTTTCCACACTGTGGGCATTCTATGATCTATGATTCTATGAATGTAACAATTGAAAACTAGGCTTGGTAATAGTGGCAATGAAGCTATTGTCAGTTGTCATAAAGACCTATCTGGCTCACCTTGGAGAATAGAAAGTAGAGGGAAAATTTGATAACTATGTTTAAAACCAGGAGAGGTCCGAACAGAATAGATGGGGCATAACTGTTTGTAGTAGTGGAAAGGTTGATAATCAAAAGGGCACAAATTTATGGTAATCTGCAATTGGAGTGATAACCACATAAGGAAAAGCTTTTAGCCTACAGTAAAGAAGGGTCAGAAGAGGCATTCGGTAGGAACTGTCATCACTATCTGAAAAGAAATTACAGGCTGCAGAATTGGCACCATGTTTCATTGTTCCTGCAGAGGGGCCAGCACAGACAAGTAGGGCTAAAAGAACTCCTTTTGTGCTGTAACATTCCTAGGCTCCTCTCAAATCTGCCACTCTGGCCTAGAATGGACAATGTGTGACTCCAGGCCCTCAGCAAAGCAATGTGGCTGACTCTTAAATGCCCTTTCAAACAGGTGTTGTTTTACCAGGCTGCTACAAAATAGACTGCAGAGGTTCAAGGGAAAGACGGAGCGAGACAGGGAGAGAATAATGTTTTTAAACACGAGATGAGAGGGATCACGACTGAACACTCTTCTTCTGACCTACTGTTTTATAACTACACACCTTTCCGACAGTGATCAGAACCATCCTTGCTGACCAGCAGCCGTCACCCCTGCCAACTGAGGTGAACATCCTAAAACCATTTGTAATCCCACTGTCCCCTCCCTGGGTTCAATTCGGAAGGACTGAGAAGTTGGTGTCAAACATGCAAGAATTAAGGGATGATTTGTGCAGTTTCCAAGAGGAACAGGTAGGACGGAAAGAGAAGTACGTGCTGCTGTTTGGAGAATCCAGGATTAGAAAACACAGCCCAAACTAGAGCCCAGATCTTTTAGGAATGAATTTAGGAAACCTCTTTTCTCAAAGGATGAGAGAAGTTTTGTAACTCTTTTCCAGAAATTGCCTAAGTTACAGAAATCATGGAATCCCTAGTGTGCATGCAGGCTATTCAGCCCATCAAGTCCACACCGACTCTGAACAGCATCACACCCAGGCCTACCCTGTCCCTGTAACCCTGAATTTCCCGTGGTTGTTCACATACCCTGCACTATGAGCAATTTAGCATGGCCAATCCATCTAACCTGCACATCTTCTTTGGACTGTGGGAGGAAACCCACACAGACATGGGGATAGCGTGGAAACTGCACACAGACAGTCGCCTGTGGGTGGAATCGAACCCAGGTCCCTGATGCTGTGAGGCAGCGGCGCTAACCACTGAGCCACCATGCTGCCCTAGTTGAAGCATTTAGGCCAGGGAGAGAGGCTGGATGAACTTTTCTTTAAAGCAGAGAAAGTTGAGGGGGGAGCCTGATTTTAAGTGCATAAGATTGTGAGGGGCATGAACAGGTGAATAGAAAGCACTGCTCACTTTAGGTGAAGGATCAGAAACAAGGAGGCATAATTTTAACTGAAAGGCAGGAGGTTTAGAGGGAATTTGTGGAAAATGTCTTTCACCCAGAGGGTAGTGGGAATCTGAAATATAATACCTGGGAGGATATATGAGGCAGGTAACCTCACAGCATTTTATAAAGGACTTGGATGAGCACTTGAAGTGCCATAATATTTGTGGCTATGGGCCTGTGCATGAAAGTGGGATTAGTGTAGTGTAGATAGGTCAGCACAGACTCAACGGGCCAAAGAGCCTCTTCTGAAATGGATGACTCTGATTATTATTAAAGGCAATTGATGCCAGGTCAGTTTGTTAATTGGATAATGCCTCAGAAACCCCAGGGATAGACGTAATTAAATAATAGAACACAATCAAGGGGCTGAATAGCCTCCTACTGCTCCTATAATGCTTGCATTCAGCCATATAAGGGGCGACACTTGAGCTTTTACTGACGCCCATTCATGTCTGATCACTTGTTTTCCACATCAAACTGCTGTCTTGACTGGTACAGACAAGTATTTGTACTTTAGTAAATCGGGAAGATTGGATTATTGTGGAGCATGTTTCTTCCTTTTAATCTCTTTGTTTATTTCCTCTGACAGATTGAGCAGCTGAGAGGGGAGCTGATGCAAGAAAGAGCAGCAAGGCAGGACCTAGAATGTGATAAGATTTCCTTGGAGAGACAGGTATGCTCCCTCGGGTGTGAATTAAGGTAATCAGGCAAACGGTTTCAGGAACAGCAGCTTGGTGTTCCATCTTTTCACATCATTACATCAAGGGAATGTACTGGGCAATGCACGGAGCTGAACCGATAAGCTGAGTCCTGAGGCTTTCGGGGAGGGATCTCTGGATGGGATGATAATATCCTCCTTTAAAACAGGACACTGGAACGTTGCAGTGCTCGACATGAGCAAAGCTATTGAAGGAGGAGAAAGGCAGAAACATTCGAGGGGACAGTGATTAGAGCAGATTGTTCCATTCTGGAGCTAATGCAGCAAGATGGACTAACTTGCGTAACAACTTCCAGCACAAAAGCAGGCCTTGACCCCATCAGGCCCATGCCAGCATTTCTGTTCCATGTGAACCTTCTCTGTTTTGTGACATCCAGAAAAGAGAACCATGCATATTTAGGGCACAAGCAGGAGAAGTGCCGAAGATAAAACCAGGAACTGCAGATCTGAAATTGCTGGAGAAACACAACAGGTCTGGCAGCACCTGTAGTGAGAGAAATAGACCCTTTCAAGGTCACTGGATCTGACGTTAGCTCTGTTTCTCTCTCCACAGACGCTGCTGGACTTGCCGAGTTTCTCAGCAATTTCTGTTTTTGCATGTTGCAAAGTGCTGAAGAGTTTGTTCTGCAATTTCAAGCAGCTCTTCATTTTACCTTGTGGTTTGTACCTGGAATTTTAAGCATCAGAGGCCTCCATTTCCTTCAACAATTTATTACTTATTGTTTATCTATGCCATTGAACTGATAACGTCATCCCCTGAGACGCACAGTCATTTATTTCCCACTAATCTCTCCATTTCTGTCTGGTGAGATCATAAGACTACATTCACATGAACCCTGGCCAGAGTCCCAGCCAGCCCACGCCTACAGTGTTGGTTGTCACCATCCAGCAGATTACAGAACTCTGTATTGGTATTTGTTGTGCCAAGTTCAGGTGAAATGCAAAAAAGATGTAAATTGAGTCAGAAATGACTTAATCTTCCAGTCCCGTACCTTACAATTAACTCTGATTTATGTTTGTCTCCCAGGCGAAAGATTTAAAGGTTCGCCTGTCTAACTGTGAAGGTTCTGTGAAACCGAATGCCAACTTGCCTCAACTCGAATCTCGCATCAGGGAGCTGGAGGATCGCTTACGGTCAGAGGAAAGGTATATAGTTTGGGAACAAGTAGGGGTTTGGGTATTGAGGGGGTGGGGAGTGCTGTGGAGATGGGGTAAGGGTTAGGGGTGGTTAACAAGCAGGTTTTTAGTTTAGCGTCTTACCTGAAAGATGGCACCATCGACAATGCAGCACTCCCTCACTACTGGCACTACTGGGTTTTGGAGTTGGCGGGGGGTGCATGTAGCCTGATTTGAGATGTACATAGATCTGAGGAATATAGATAGGAAGAAATATCCCCTTAGTAGGGAGATAAATAAGTAGGGGACATAGATTTACATAAGTTGCTGTTGGGGATGCAGTGGGTCACATCCATGCCTCTGGGCCAGAAGCACTGGGTTCCTACTGTGTAGAAACAGGCCATTCAGCCTATTGAGTCCACGCTGACCCTCCAAAGAGCATCCCACACAGACCCATTTTCCCCCCCCACCACCCCTGTAGCCCTGCATTTCCCGTGGCTAACCCACCTAACCTGCACGTCCTCGGACACTTTGGGGCAATTTAACACAGCCAATCCACCCTAACCTGCACTTCTTTGAACTGTTGGAGGAAACTCATGCAGACGCAGGGGAGAATGTGCAAACTCCACACGGACAGCCGCCCGAGGGTGGAATCGAACCCAGGTCCCTGGCACCGTGAGCCAGCAGTGCTAACCGCTGAGCCCACTGTACCACCTGGCAGCTAAACAGCTTAATTATCAATCTGCAAACCCTCCCAATCCGCAGTTGGTTCCTGCTCAGCCAGAGCCATGTGTTGGCACCAATGCAGCAGCCTCCCCACATGAGAAGATTCCGTGCCTTCTTTCACTTTAAGGGAATACCCTACCTGTACTCTTGCTGTAAACGCTCCCAGATTAAGATTAGGTGTTTGGGTGTGAGCTGAAACCTCACAGGAGCGAACCCCAGATGAAACCCTGAACTTTCTACCACATAGCAGCAAAAGTAGGCCACTTGGCTCATTGAGTCTGCTCTACCATTCAATGAGATCGTGGTTAACCAAATGATTCTTGACAATCCATTCCCACCTTTCTTACATAACCCTTGAACTCCTTCCTAGTTAAAACTCTGTTGACCTCATCCTTGAATGCAGCCTCTGAGGTAGAGAATTCCACCAATTCACTACCCAGAGAGAAGAAACTCTTCTGTAGCTCTGTCTTAAATGGTGGTCCCTTACTCTGATATTATGCCCTCTGGTCTTAGACTCTCCCACTGTGGAAAGTGATGTTTGTGTCTATCCTGTCAAGGTCCCTAAAGAATTTTATGTTTCCGTGAGGTCTCTCTTTCTATTGAACTCCAATGCCTAAAACTCAACCCCTCCTTTTAAGACAGCCCCTCTATAATTAACTAAGTGAACTTTCTCTGGACTGCCTCCAATGCAAGTTGTAGTGACCTGCCCAAGAGCAGATCCTCTACTCCACACATCACGATCATGTGCCTTCCACTTAACTTAGTTGCTGGAACCTCCTGTTTTCAATTTTGGGATGACTCCGGGCAAGGGTCATTATCCTTCGATCTTTCTCATATGCTCTAAGGAAATTACAAGTCCTGTTCCCACTCACTGGAAGCAGCCATTGTCCCTCCAAAGTTTCAGCTCTTCCACTGAAAGTTCACTGCTTCCACCATTGGCTCATAACCCTGATAATTGGATCCTTTATCTGGGACTGGGGGCAACTCATGAAAGGCCAGGGATGACCCTGAGATTTCAAATGACTCACTGCAAGTGGAAACTCTGGTTGATTTGCTTCTGACCCGCTTGGGGAAAGCGCAGTACTTCTTTCAAAACTAATCAGTTTGCTTCACGCAAGCCTCTGTCTCTGCACGCATGCTTTATCTTTTGCGAAGAAACCCAGACTGCACGCTAATCTTTCCCTTTTTTCTTCTGCCCTTTTCATTTACCTTCAATCTTGAGGCAGTTGTGGCTTGGAAAAGTTTTTTTTCCCACAAAGGAAAGACAAGCAAGTTGTTGTGGTTCATTGCTTTGAGACATGATACAGTAACCCAACCCTGGCTGTCTGCAGTATTTGCACCATTGCTGTCTTGCGCATTTGGATTCATAATCTGGGCCAGTGATGATGGGGGTGCTGTAAAATGTAATATCAGTTCCTTGCATCTATACAGGCCCCTCATCACAGTAAAGCATCTCACAATCACACTCACAATTATACAAAATTCAGCACCAAGCTACAGGAGAGAATAGGAATGGGTGACTAAGCTAAAAGCACTAATAAATGAGGGAACTGCTGAGCAGATTTGGTAGCATCTTTGGGGAGAGAGAGTGAGACACACAGTTAACGTTTCAGGTGAACAGACCTAGGACGACGCAGCGCAACAAGTTCAGAACAAGCTGAGTTAGAGGGACTTGAGAAATCAAGATGGTTGATGTTGGGCCATTCGTTCTCCGTGAGATGTAGAGAGGGTGAGAGGCCAGATGGGGAGGGAGAAGATTAGTGATGGTGGAAAGGGATGCGTTAAGCATGGAATGTGTTTGCATTTAGAGAGTTCCAGAGTTTAAACTGTGATCCAGGAGCCTGTTAGCATTGGTGTTAAAAGGTTGTGCCAAGGCATTGGGGTGAGCTGTTTAAAAAGAATTTAGCCATGTTGGCATGAGTCAGGCTCGTTGGGCCGGCCAATCTTTTCCTGCTCGTTGTTTCCATGTTTGTCCCACACACGAGTGGGAGAGTCCTCCTGGTGTCCCAACCAGCAGCTCCAAGTAATTTCCTCCGAAAGTTGAGAATCTGTGGATCTATCTTTTGATTTATTCCTTTGCCAGTGAAGAATCTAAGGCTAAAATAAAACACAGAACTTCAGGTGCTGAAGATCTGAAATAAAAGCAGAAAGTGCTGGAGAAACTCAGCATGTCCGGCAGTATCTGTGGAGAGAAAACAGGGTTAACATTTTGAGTCTAGTGACTCTCCACGCATTCTGAGAATCTAAAGGGTGTGGCAGGTAAACAATAAAGTGGAATTCATATGTTCATGTCAGGTTGCAAATAATCCTTCTCAACTCTCGCTCTAACTCTCTCACGCACTCTGTTTTATATTGCTAGGGACCGAAGTGCACTACAGGCATCGAATCGCAAGCTGGAGAGGAAAGTAAAGGAACTGACCATTCAGCTTGATGACGAAAGACAGCAGGTGTCTGATGAGAAAGACCAGGTACGGCTTTAAGGGAGGGCAGTCAGGGGATAGTTTTCACACAGTTAACCCCCTGTGGCTCACTTCCCTTCACCTGGTATGGTTGAATCTACCCTCGTGCCAGTTTGACTCACTTTAGACCATCACTGCAGGCCTGAATACATGATCTGGCTTTGCACTCGTGTAGAAAAACTGCTCGGTGACCCTGTCTCATCCAGATCATAGAATTCCTACAGTGTGGAAGCAGGCCATTAGGTTCATTGAGTCCACACCGACCCTCTGAAGAGTATTCCACCCTCCTGCCCTATCCCTGTAACTGTCCATTTCCATTGGCTAACTCACCTAACCTGCATATCTTTCGACTGTGTAAGGAAACTGGTGCACCCAGAGAAAACCCACACAGACACACGGGAGAATGCGCAAACTCAACACAGACAGTCGCCTAAAGATGGAATTGAACCCGGGTCCCTGGCGCTGTGAGGCAGTGGTGCGAACCACTGTGCCACCCGGTGAGATGTTAAATTGGGATCCCAGCTGCCTGCACCAATGATGAGGATCTGATTCAAAGACCAATGAAAAGCTCTGCTTTATCTGTAAGCAACACCACGTTGACTTGTTGCATATCTCATGCCCACTGCAAGACAAGGCTAGGCCACAATAGCAACAGCCGGTTTTCCTGCTGTTAGGAGCTGGCTATGGTAAGTGCGGAGATTGTCTCCCCTTAACTGGAGAGTCTGGAATGATGGGCCCAAATCTCAGACGAAGGACTCAGACACTTAGGAGAGTGAGGATAGACATATGAAGAAAGACTGGATCAACTGGGCTTGAATTTAGAAGAATTTGGGGATAATCTCACAGAAACATATAAAATCCTGATGGGACTGAACAGGCTAGATGTGGGAAGAATGTTCCTGATGTTGTGGAAGCCCAGAACTAGGGGTCCCAGTCTAAGAATAAGCGGTAAGCCATTCAGGACTGAGATGAAGAATTTCTTCACTCGGAATTGTAAACCTGTGGAGTTGTCTACCACAGAAAGCTATTAGGAGCACTTTGTTCGATATATTCTAGAGGGATCTGGACATGGCCCTTGCGGCTAAAGGAATCAAGGGGTATGGAGAGAAAGCGGGAGTGGGATGCTGAAATTGCCTGATCAGTTATGGTCATATTGGATTGTGGTGCAGGCTTGAAGGACCGAATGGCCTCCTACTGCATCTGTTTTCTATGTTTCTGTTTGTATTTCACCCCGGGAGGTGTGCAAGTCTTCTGAAATTAGCTGCGACAGACTGGTCACAGCACAATATTAGTCCTTATTCACAGGCATCTCCTTCACTGTCAGATGATTACAGTCATTTGATAACACAGAATTTGAATTTTACTGGAAGAAAACCACAATCTGTCAAAACTTTTTTCCTCTCTGCCCTCATCAGAACATTTCACAAGAATACTACAGTCATACTGTACAAGAGGAGAGTGACGTTGATTTTCCCCTTGAATAGGTATTCTTGCGAAATGTCCTGATGAGTGCAAGATGACAAGCTTCCACAAAATGTCTTCATTAAAAAATTTCAGCAACTCTTAGACGGTTGCAACAATACCCTGTATCATTGCTTCTTAAACATTTTCTCACTCTGACCCAATTCAAGGCTTGAAAACAGTCATTGAACCCCGCCAACACCTCTCTCCCCGCCCCCCCGTGAGCAATGACGGTGATAGGCAAGAAGGTAAAACCAAATAGATTTGGGGGCGGAGGAGTTCAGCCTTTGCTGTGTCGGGTCTTTACCCTACTTTGGGGAGTCATCAATGAATAAAAGACTTAATTTGTAAGTTGATTCACCTGTAATATATCTTTTTAATTCATTCATGGGATGCGGGCATTGCTGGCTAGGCCAGCATTTATTGTCCATCCCTAATTACTCAGAGGGCAGTTAGAAGTCAACCACGTTGGTGTGGGCCTGGAGTCACATATAGGCCTGACCAGGTAAAGATGGCAGCTTCCTTCCCTAAAAGACATGAGTGAAGCAGATGAGTTTTTCTGGGAATCCACAGTGCATTCATGGTCTTCATTAGACTCTTAATTGAATTTTTAATTGAATTCAAATTTCACCACCTGTTCTGGCAGGATTTCGAAGCGAGTCCCCAGAGCATTACATGGGTGTCTAGATTAACATTCCAGCGATAATACCACTAGGCCCACACCTCCCCTATAATATGGATAGATATAAAGGCTGTGTTTGACTGGCTTATTGACAGTCTAATACGGTGAACTACTGGTGTGAGAAATATCAGAGCTTTGAGTAGCAAGCATTAACATTTCAGGAGGATTAGGATTTGTCAAGATAATTTATTTTGCAGTAGGTCCTTACCTCCATTGCGTGTTTTTGTTTTTGTTTTTGTTTTTGCATAGCTGACCTTGCGTGTGAAGGCACTGAAGCGACAAGTGGATGAAGCTGAGGAGGAGATTGAGCGGCTGGAAACTGCGAGGAAGAAGGGCTTGCGGGAGCTGGAGGATCTATATGAGGTCAATGAACAGCTGCAGACCCGTATCAAGTCCCTGGAGAAGGACGTCAGGTAAGACACCAAAACGTTCACTGCCTTCAACTTGCAATTTTCTCCATCACTGACGTGCAGTGGCAGCAGCTTATACCATCTGTGAGACACACTAGAGCAGCTCACTGAGGTTGTTTAGATGACACCTTCCAAAACCCACCACTTCTGTCTGTTACCACCCCCACACCATCCAGACTTGGAGCTATGTTGGGCATTCCTTTGCTGCTGGGAACTCCCTCCCTAACGGCACCCACGGTGTCCACACACCCACACCGACTGTGGTGCTTTGAGACAGTGGCTCGCTACCACCTTCTCAGCAATTCAAGCCTTGCTGCCCACTTGTCCTGTGAACAAATCCTCTTTCATTTTACAAAGCGGCCGCTGGGCAGAGTTCATCAGGCCTTATGGCAGGGCGGACCTTTGATCAAGTTGTGAAAAGTGGATGAAGGACCGTGGATAGAGAGGAGACAGTGGATCGTGTGGCCTCTTGAGCCCAGAAGTAGTTTGAGTGGTCGGGGTGACATGGAGACTCAGCTGGGACTGTTAAATCTGATCAGTTTGTGAGGAGAGATCGAGGCAGAAGGAAACGAGATGCTGCCTGCTTTTAATAAGATGATGCTGAAATTCTGCATACCGATCAATTGTTCTCAAGTGGAAGGTGGCACAGTGCAAGACCATAAGCAACAGGAACAGGAGTCGGCCGTTCAGCACCTTGAGCCTACTTCATTGGATTCTGGCTGATCCAACATTCCATATGTCCAATTGCCTGCCCTTTCCCCATAATCCTTGACTCCCTTATTCATCAAGATTCTATTTATCTCAGCCTTAAATATACAAAACGACTCTGACCCCACGGCTCTCTGTGGCAAGAAGTTCCAAAGGCATTCAACCCTCTGTGAAAACAAAACCCTCCTCCTCTCAGTCTCAAATTGGTACCCCTTTATTCTGAGACGATGCCCTCTGGTCCTAGACTCTCCCGTGAGGGGAAACATCCTCTCAGCATTTACATTGTCCAACCCCTTAAGAATCCTATGGTGAGATGACAGATCAGATCGCGCGATGAGGAAGAGAGCTGGTTTAACAGCGAGTGTAAGGGCGAGGTCACAGGCCGGTGAGCACGAGGTGTAAAACCAGACTGCTGCCATAAGCACACTGCTAGACGCTAGCTTATCCTTAGTGTGAGGAGTCAGTCGTGGCTGATCTGTGATTTGCTCTACTGAAATTGTAGAGCTAAGGTGTGAATTAGGTGATGCGGTGACCACTGGGAGGTTATCAATAAGCCAAGCTTTACAAACAGCAGCAAATAAAACCTTGTTCTGTACGTTGTACATTGCATCAAGCACTGAACAATTAAACCTTCTGTGTTTTGCTATAACCTGAGGGACTTAAATTTTATTGGCACGTCAACTTTTAGTGCTGTTTTATTGAATGGAAATATCTGTTTGGTCTGATGAATTACGAGCTTTAGATCAGTGTAGCGGTCCAAGGTCGGGTGAACACAGCCAGCCAGTACCTAGCCTGAGTCATTTAATTACTACGTGCGCCAAGCAGATCAGGAGACCGTGGCCCACCTCCCCTCCCCTCCCGTCCCCCACCCCACCCCCGCCCACACACAGCTTCCTGTCATTTCGCAGCCCTCAGTCTCCCCATTCTCGTTGCTTAAAGCAGGAAGAGACGAGACCAAGAGAGATTTTTAATCAATATGGGAATGTAGGGTTATGGGGGCAAAGGGTAGGACAGTGGAGTTGAGGATGATCAGATCAACCATGATCTCATTGACCACCATGCAAGGCAGAGCAGACTCGATCGGCTGAATGGCCTAATTCTGCTCCTATGTCTTACGTGTGTACTGCTCCTGCCTGTGGTTTCAGTTGTAAATTGAGGCGCATGGTGGGGTAGGGGTTAGCAATTAATAAAAATGACTTGACCAGATGCTGAGAATGTGTTTGAGTTTATTTCCATCTTCTGTCCCCTACCCTTTGCCATCATTGCGCCAGAACTCCCACCCTTCAGCACAGCTGTAATCAACAGGTAATCCTTGCCTGCTGCTGCAGTATGGCAGATTGAGGCAGCAATTCAGCTGTACTGCCAAAAACCTTTTCAAAAATGTGTTCACTGCGTGTGGGCATCACTGGAGATATTTATTGCTCATCCCTACTTGTCACTTGAGAAGGTGTTGTTTAGCCACAACTGAATGAATGTAACTGAGTGACTTACATGGCAGACTCAATATAATGTGGATAAATATGAGGTTATTCACTTGAGGGAGAAACGGGAAGGCAGGCTGTGATCTGAATGACGATGGGTAGTAAAGGGACCTGTGTCCTTGTGCACCAGTCACTAAGTAAACATTGCAGGTGCAGCAGGTGGTGAAGAAGCCAAATGTTATCTTGCTCTTTGTAGCAAGAGGATTTGAGTACAGGATGTCTTGTTGCAATTGTTCTGAGCCATGGTGAGACCAGCCTAGAGTGATGTGTGCAGTTTTGGCCTCTGAATCAGCGGCAGAATGGTCTGGCGATGGAGGGAGTGCAACAAAGATTTACCATACGGATTCCTGGGGTGGCACAACAGATGTATGAAGAGAGACTGGATTGGTTAGAATATTCACTGGAGTTTAGAAGAATAGAATGGAAATTTATTGTCACGTGTACTTGTTCATGAAAAGTACAGTGAAAAATTTGATACGTCACCCACCCCCCCACCACCACCACATAAGTGACAAACATTATACATAATGATATGAAAACGTAAAATTAAGACAAAGTTCGTCATGGTTCAGTTGACTGCTCCTGGGCTCGAGGAAACATGATTTAAGGAGCGGTGGAATACCCTGAAGATGCTGGGACGAGACTGCTATTCCAGGCCTCTGGAATACTGGGCCAGAAGCCTTCGCCAAAGAAGACCATGCAGGGTCAAGACCGCCTGCTGGGCCACTGAAGTTGAAGAAGACCTCCACACGGGGGTGAGACCTCCACACTGGGACAAGACCACTAGGCTAAGCTGAGACTACCTTTCTCCTCCTCCAGACACCCAGGCTTCACTGCGCACCTGGAGCCTCGACCTAGCCTGCGAGTCTAGGCTGGGGGAGTCAGCCCAGGACCTGTTCCTCGCTCACCAGGAGACCCCGGGCTGGGGTGGAGCCTTGTCTGGCTCGTCCTGGTATTGCTGCTGTTGGAGGCCACTGCCTTCACCTGCCACTCTCTGGGCTTAAAAGAAACCAAAGAAAAATGTTGAGTGAGCAAAAGGAGAAAGAAAGCAGCAGGAGCGGATGAGGCCCCAGACTCGGCCACCATCTTGAAAGAATGAGGGGCGATAATATGGAAGCCTGTATAATTCTGCAGGACTAGACCGGGTAAATGAAGGAAGAATGTTCCCGATGACTATGGAGTCCAGAACCAGGAGTCATGGTCTAAGGATACGGGGAGACCACTTAGGACTGAAAGGAGGAGAAATGGCTTCACCCAGAGAGTGGAGAGCCTGTGGAATTCCATGCCACAGAAAGCGTTCGGGGCTGGAACATTGAAACTTTTTAAGTAGGAGTTAGATATAGTTGTTAGGGTTAAAGGGATCGGAGAGAAAGCGGGAACAGGAGACTGAGCTGGATGATAAGCCATAATCCTATTGAATGGTGGGCAGGCTTGAAGGGCTGAATGGCCTACTGCTCTTCTTTTCTATGTTTTTGTGTTTTTTTCGGCCATTTCATAGAGCTGCCGAGAGCCAACCACATGTCTGTAGGCTCGGGCTGGGCAAAGGTGGCTGCTTTTCTTCCCTCAAGGACATTAGTGAACCCAATTCTTAGTTGCAATACATCAGATCAAGTGTTAACTTTGTTCACCCCAATGCCTTGTTCTTTCTCCAGGCAGTTCCACTATAAGTGAGAGGCAGACTGAGCTGTTGTAAGTTCATGCTTTAAATCTCGGTCTTACGTAGATCTATGCTGCAGAGCTGTGCACGTGCTGACTGTCAAACTTCTGATAATAATGGTTTATGCCACCACTTTCACTGGCTCACCTGCTGCTTACAAGCTGTTAGTAAGAATTCAGCCTGCTAACCAGGCTTGGGTAACCGATTATGAGCAAAGATTCTGTTTGCAAACTAAAATGCTAATAGGATAAGTTTAAAAATCTCTGTTGCATGATATTCACCTAATAGCATGCCATAACTTTTACGAGAGACCGTCCAACTCTGCGTAAAGTTGGGCGAACAGTATTTAATAGATGCTTGATACAACAGCACTGGAGTATTGCTGCAAAGAGAGACATGCTGATAATCTTGAATTGATGTAATTCTGAGCACGCTCTGTTGTGTAAGTGCGACCCATCTGTGGGGTTGCACCTGATGTTGGACCGTATCTTCATTTTGTGAGCATAGGCTAGTTTGGCTTTGTCTGTTGCGAGCAGCCGTAGGGGCGTGCTGTTTCATGCTATCGACCAGTCACTGGGCAGAATGGCCTGCATGCCAGCTGCCACAATGGCACTGAAATTCACGCACTGTTTGCGTGGTAGCTGGAATGTTTCTTTGACTTATAGAGTCGTACAACACGGAAACGGACACTTTGGTCCAACTCGTCCACATCGATTGTGTTCCCAAACTAAACTAGTCCCAAATAAAAACCAAAAGAATTGTGGCTGCTGTAAATCAGAAACAAAAACAGAAATTGCTGAAAAAGCTCAGCAGGTCACTCAGAAGGCAAGGACCGCATTTAATGTCCATCTCTAATTGCCCTTAAACTGAGGTGACTTGCTCAGGCCATTTCAGAGGACAGTTAAGAGCTGACCACATCGCTGTGAATCTGGAGTCACAAGAGGGTGGCACAGTGGCTCAGTGGCCAGCACTGCTGCCTCACAGCACCAGGGACCCAGGATGGATTCCACCCTCAGGTGCCCGTCTGTGCGGAGTTTGCACATTCTTCCCCACTGTCTGCTGGGTTTGCTCTGGGTGCTTCAGTTTCCTCCCACAGTTCAGAGATGTGCAAACTGGGTGGATTGGCCATACTAAATTGTCCATTGTGTTCAGGGATGTGTAGACTAGATGGGTTACAGGGTTAGTGGGATGGGTCTGGATGGGATGCTCTGAGGGTCGGCGTGGACTTGTTGGGTCGAAAGGCCAGTTTTCATACTAAAAGGATTCTGACATGTAGGTCCTGACTGGGTAAAAACAGCCGATCTCCTACCCCGAAAGGACAGTAGTGAATCAGATAGGGTTTTTACACCAATCCATGTTGGTATCATGGTCATCAATACTCAGACTGGTTCCTAGTTCTGGATTTTTAACATTTTATTTTGAAATTTCACCAGCTGCAGCAGCGGTGAGATTTGAACCTGTGTCCCTGCTGAAACATTACTAGTCCCAGTGGCAATACCACAACACCACATCTGGTCTTTTTAACCAAGCTGAGTTAAGGTAGAGTTCAAATTGAAAGACCGAACAGGTTGGAGGGGCTGAATGATCTCCCTCTTCTCATAGTCATAGAGCAGTACAGCATGGAAACAGGCATTCAGTCCAACTCATCCATGCTGACCAGATACCCTAAATTAACCTAGTCCCATTTGCCAACATTAGGACCATATCTCTCTAAAACCTTTCCTATTCATGTGCCCATCCAGATACCTTTTAAATGTTGTTATTGTACCATCCTCCACCACTTCCTCTGGCAGCTCATTTCATACACGCACCACCCTCTACGTGAAAATGTTACCCCTCCTGTCCCTTTTTAAATCTTTTCCCCTCTCTCCATAAACCTATGCCCTCTAGTTTTGGACTCGCCCACCCCGGGGAAAAGACCTTGTCTATTCACCCTATCCATGCCCCTCATGGTTTTATAAGCCTCAATAAGGTCATCCCTCAGCCTCTGATGCTCCAGGGAAAATAGCCCCAGCCTATTCATCCCTTCCCTGTAGCTCAAACCCTCCAACGCTCGCAACATCCTTGTTAATCTTTTCTGAACCCTTTCAAGTTTCACAACGTCCTTCCTATAGCAGAGCGACCAGGATTGAACGCAGTATTCCAAAACGTGGCCTCACCAATGTCCTGTACAGCTGCAACATGACCTCCCGACTCTTATGATTAATGCACTGACCAATAAAGGCAAGCGTACCAAACGTCGTCTTCACTATCCTGTCTACTTGTGACTCTCCTTTCAAGGATCTATGAACCTGCGCTCCAAGGTCTCTTTGTTCAGCAACACTCCCCAGGACTTTACCATTGAGTGTATATGTCCTGCCCTGATTTGCCTTTCCAAAATGCAGCACCTCACATTTATCTAAATTAAACTCCATCTGTCACCCCTCGGCCCATTGGCCCATCTGATCAAGGTCCCGTTGTACTCTGAGGTAACCTTCTTTGCTGTCCGTTACACCCCAAATTTAATGTCATCTGCAAACTTACTAACTATACCTCCCTATGTTCACATCCAAATAATTTCTATAAATGATGAAAAGCAGTGGACCCAGCACCAATCCTTGCGGCAGATTGCTGGTCACAGGCCTTCAGGTGGAAAAGCAACCTTCCATCACCACCCTCTGTCTTCTACCTTCGAGCAAGTTCTATATCCAAATGGCTAGTTCTCCCTGTATTCCATATGATCTAACCAGTCTACCACAAGGAACCTTGTCAAATGCGTCACTGAAGTCCATATAGATCACATCCACTGCTCTGCCCCCCTCAATCCTCTGTTAATTCAAAAAACTCAATCTCGTGAGACATGATTTCCCATGCACGAAGCCATGTTGATTATCCCTAATCAGACCTTGTCTTTCCAAATCCATGTAAAACTTGTCCCTCAGGATTCCCTCCAACAACTTGCCCACCATCCAATGTCAGCACACCAATCTATAGTTCCCTGGCTTTTCCTTACCACTCTTCTTAAATAGCTAACCTCCAGTCTTCCGGCTCCTCACCTATGGCTATCAGTGATACAAATATCACAGCAAGGGGCCCAGCAATCACTTCCCTAGCTTCCCACAAAGTTCTAGGGTACACCAGATCCGGTCCCAGGGCTTTATCCACCTTTATGCATTTTACGACTTCCAGCACGTACTCCTGTGTAATGTGGACATGTTACAGAAGCAGCGTGAGCCAAATGATCTTGCATCTCTGAAAGAGCCGATGATATTAAGTGCCCTGGTTTTTATCACTTCGTGTGTTCACCCCCACAGGCTCAAGAAGACGCGTTCCAACGTGGGACTGCAGGATGATGACATCAGTACGGATGAAGAGTTTGACAGCAACTTTGAGCCTTCCTCAATTACTTCGCTAATAACAGAGAGCAACCTGCAGACAAGCTCCTGTTAGACCAGACTCCATTGGACAGGATGAACTCACCAGATCAATCACTGTCTCTCTCCCGCTTTTTTTTTAAGACTGAGCTGTACACAAATCCCTTGTGTAAAACTGCAAGCCTTGTTGATTTCTTTCAAGTGGAAAGTCAGCTGTGTTTTTGTTTCTAAAACTACCTGCAGGCACAGAACCCGTGACTCTGGAAGCCGTTTTTACCACACGATGGATATAACATGTATTTTCTTAAACTGCAATCTTTAATTTTGTAGAGTTTGTTACAATCAATTCTTGTTTCCGCATTCCCACTGGGAGGCGAAGGTGGTCCAGCATCTGATTATTTCACATCAGGCTAGAAAGCAGCCACGCACAGGACTGGGAAGGGACTGCGTGCACGTACGTACGTACGTGTGTTCCCCGCGCATATTCTGACAAGCAGCTGAGACCCACTTAGCAGAATTTTGAGTGTGTGCCACACTTTGACTTCGTTGCTTCTGTGCTGACCTGACATCAGAGGCAGCCATGACACCAAATTGAGAATCAAGAACCTGAGGTGTGATTTAAAGACCCAGTTAATGGAAACTGTGTCCAGGGGACCTCATGGAATAGGATGTGCTGGCCAAGAGATTAGATTTGAGCTGTTGAAAACAGAAGGGAGAGGTGGAGAGAGCGGGAAGGCGAGGAAGAGGTGCATCGATTTCAGCAGCTTCTGTTACCTGGCTTGTTTTGAGCTGTGTAACCTAGCACAGCAGCTCTGTCATATCCTTCTGAATTAATACTCAACTGGCTGATCACAGGAGAGGAGACATCGTGCTGCCTGCTCTGTGCCTAAAACCTGCTAGCTCGTGTGTGTGTGTGTGTGTGTGTGTGTGTGTGTGTGTGTGTACAACTGCTGTCATGTTATCCCTATCCATCTTTGTGACCCTGCCTGATTCCTACCTGTCTCTGGGTGCTGTTCTCCAGCTACACAAATAAAATATAAAATGAGTGCCAGGTGTGACCAGGCCAGTCAAAATACTGCTGCTTGTGTGCTTTGCAAATGCATGCTTTTTTGTCTTTTTTTTTTAAGAAAAGATACAAGTTTGCACTTGTTCAGCCTCGCGTGCAGTGCAGGGGTGTGGGGGACAGGGAGCAGACATTGAACCTGCAGAAACTCGCTGCCCTCAGAGCCAGGTTAGACGAGGCTGAAGAGCTCTCATCTTTTCAACAGAGCTGCGGAATACATCAGAACATTTAAGGGGAAATTAATTCTGGGTTCCAGTTAAATTTGGGGGTTTATCATTTGACATTTCCGCTCATCTCCTATGCTTGTCCCTTGGTTGGTGTGAGAACTTTGCCTTTTGAGTTTGTGCGTTCCCTCTTTACCTCTCCCCTCCCCCATCCATAGGAGCCTGGATGCCTATTCTAGTCTCTGCGCAGTGGGAGATTGGACAGCGTCAGCAAGAAGGAACAATGGGCATGCTGGAACTGGAATTCTGGGATTGAAAGTCTCTGTGCTGGTGACCATCGGGGTCAGCTGTCCTCAAGGGCAGCAAATCTGTCATCCTACACATGACTTCAGGCCCACAGCAATGTGGTCAACTCTGAAATGACCCTCTCTGGTCAAGGGCGATTTAAGGATGGCGCAACAAATGTTTCCAGTGATGCCCATTTCACGCCAAGGGGAAGCAAGTATTATCTAAATACATCCTGAATTTTAATAGGAATCATTCTTGAGGGATGGAGGGGGCGACAAAGATGGATGGAGTAAACAATAGTAAACGCTAAATATCAGAAGTTTTATCTGTGTTGTCGCGACTTGCCGAGGAACAAACAGTTGGGGATTATGCTTGCTACACAGTGCCCTGTTTGCTACCAGATGGAAGAAAAGTGAATTGGCCTATATCTCACTGAAAGTACCCATGATCGTTGGGGTTAAACATTGGTAAAAGGAGACATGAAGTCCAATCTTTTTGTCTTGCACTCGTCAGGACTAGGATGCAAGAAACCTAACTGAGTTCAGGGTCTGGGGAGAAGAGTCACAGGCAGAAGAGGCAGGTGTCTTTTCCCTAGGGTGGAGGATTTCAAGACTTGTGGCGGGGACACATTTGAGGTGAGAGCGGAAAAATTCAAATAAGACCTGGGAGCAATTTTTTTTACACAGTGGTTCGTATGTGGAATGAACTTCCTGAGGAAGTGGCGAATGTGGGTACATTTACAACATTTAAAAGATATTTGGAGAAGTACACGAATAAGAAATGTGTGGAGGGATATGGGCCGAGTGCAGGCAGGTGGGACTAGTTTAGCTTGGGGAATATGGTCAGCATGGATTGGTTGGACCGAAGGGTTTGTTTCCGTGCTGTATAACTCAGAGCTTGTGGGAACTGACAATTTCTGCAGCATTCCATGGCAACACCTTGATCAATCATGAATCGGCCTGCCTGGTCTGTGAACTAAGATTGACAGTTAACTGTTCCTGCTGTATCTCCACAGTCAGACTTCTCATGTTATATAAATCATTGCCTCTCTTCCTGAAGTAAGTTGCTTACACCCTGCCCCTGATGAGTGCACGATGTCTAAGCTCCAGCTAAGTGTCTCTGGTTTTCACAATGTTGAAGTTCTGGACTGCCAGGCCATGATCCTTAGGGTTGTGTGGTAAGTGTCCCAACCTCTGAGCAAGAGGTTCTGGATTCAAGTCCCACCTGCTCCAGAGCTGTGTTTCGTGAATGTCTGAACAGATTCATTGCAGTTCTTTTGATGTAAATACCTGTTTCTGAACATCTACATTTTCTCTTATCAACCCTTGCCTATATTTACAAACTTAAAATCAAATCAAGTTATTGTTTGGGTTATATATGAATGAAAAGATTTATACAGAATCTATGGAGAGATTTATATATATATATATACATACATATATATTATCTGTATAGAAAAATATATTGATGGCTAATCAATCAAGATTTGTATCAGATTTTTTTCTGCTGTTGTCCAGCAACTCTCAGCCTATTTTTTTCACATTTATATTTTTGTACATAATGTTTTATTTTGATTTCTGCCTTGTATGGAAATCAATAAAGCTGATGAAGGTATTTACATGCAATAATTTCTGTTTTCGGGTACTGTCGGCTGTTATCTGTCACCTTGGCCCAGTTCATTGCTGCTTTGTTGGGAGACTGGGTGCTGTGAGTTGGCGTTCTGCTGGTTGTGTCGTAGTTTTGTCACCGGGATAACAGCCCGAAGACCCAAACTAAAGCTCCGGGTTCAAATTCCTCCAAGGCAGCTGGAAGGAATATTGTTATTTTTCCATGGACACTTACAGAGTATCCTCTGACCTCCTGGAAACTGCTGTCCATGAAAGAACAGAGAACCTGTTAGTGATATTCTAGGCATGTGGTCTGCCCCATGTAGTTACAGACATACACGAAGGGGCATCTCAGTGGGAGGTGATGGCCTAGTGGTATTATTGCTGGACTGTCAATCCAGAGACCCAGATAACGTTCTGGGGACCTCTGCCACAGTAGGTGATGGAATTTGAATTCAATAAAAACCTGGAATTAAGAGTCTAATGATGACCATGAATCCATTGTCAATTGACGGAAAAACCTATCTGGTTCACTAATGTCCTTAGGGAAGGAAACTGCCATCCTTACCTGGTCTGACCTACATGTGACTCCAGACCCACAGCAATGTGGTTGACTCTTGACTGTCCTCTGGGCAATTAGGGATGGGCTGTAAATGCTAGTCCAGTCAGTGATACCCACATCCTGTGAATGAATATATTTTTTAGACAAACACACAAACTAGAAGCAGAAGTATGCCTTTTGACCCTTCAGTCCTACTCTGCCATTCAATGAGATCATGGCCAGTCTGTTTTGTGTATAAACTTTAATTCTAACATCTTCCCAATGATAGTTGTCAAGCTGACTGTCTTATTGTAGAATCCTACAGTGCAGAAAGTGGCCATTTGGCCCATTGAGTCTGCACCAACCCTCCACACAGCAGCCCAACCAGACCTAGCACCCCAACCAATCACCATAATGCCACATTTCCTCTGGCTAACCCATCTAACCTGCACATTCTTTGACACTATGGGGCAATTTAGCATGGCTGACCCACTGTAACCTGCACATCCTCAGTCTGTGGGAGGAAACTGAAGCACCCAGATGCAACCCATGCAGACACTGGGTAGAACGTGCAAACTGCACACAGGCAGTTGCCTGAAGGCTGGAATCAAACACAGTTCCTGGTGCTGTGAGGTAGCAGTGCTAATCACTGTGCCACTTGGTATTTCCAATATAATTTCCAATTTCTGCCCCCCTCCCTTTTGAATAGAAGGATTATGTTTGCTAATTTCCAGTCCGGTTGAGCCTTTCCAGAATTTTGGAAAATCAACACCAGCATATCTCCATCATTAGCCCCTCTGTTAACACCCTAGGGTGAAATCCATCAGGACCTGTAGACTTATCAACCCTGTAAACCCATCTGTTTGCTCACTGCGTCTTCCCTCATAATTATAATTTTACAAAGTTCCTCTCTCCCTTCCACCTCCTGATGAATAGTTATTACTGATTTTATATCCTCTATAGTGAAATCAGAAACAAAATAATTTATTTGTCGCATCTGCCATTTTCTTTATCTACTATTAACTCACCCTGTGCAGAACCAGTGCCCATTACATACCCTTTTCTGTTTCAGACACCTAAAGAAACTCTTGCTATCTGTTTTACATTTCTAGCTAGCCTTCTCTTGTGCTCTCATTTGCCCAGGTTTTGAGCAGCAGTGGTGATTTCCTCCATCTTTATCCAGCTTGCAACTCTTGAGTGCCATATTCAGAACTCAATGTTTGTCATCGTGCACATCTCTGTAATGGCCATCCGATCTGTTTGCCTTAAAATGGCCTGTTTCATTCAGTTTCTGTGGAAAGAAATCAGAGTTAACATTTCGTGTCCTTTCCTCAGAACCAGTCTCAACTGCTGGTTGATTCATAGTTCATTATTCTCCCTTTCTACCTTTGCCTCACCTTCATTTTCAAAATTTATATTTTACTTTCCTGCCTCAATTCTCCCTTGATTTTGTTATGTTTGTCCGAGCTGGATCTCTCATTTTCCCCCCTTGTCTGGTTTAAAGCTCTCTCTGCCTCCCTAATTATGCAGTTTGAGATATTTTCTAATCGACGCGTTCAGTGATGTCCTGCAGAGTGGGGTGGCCTTGAAACAACACTTCCTGGCTCAGAGGACAGCAGTGGCTCAGTGGATAGTACCGCTGCCTCACGGCACCAGGGACTCTGGTTTGATTCCACCCTCGGGCAGCTATCTGTGTGTAGTTCATACATTCTCTTTCCCCCGTGTCTGTGCAGGTTTCTTCCAGGTGTTCCAGTTTCCTCCCACAGTCTAAAGATATGTAGGTTGGGGTGGATTGGTCGTGCTAAATTGTCCCGTAGTGCACAGGAATGTGCAGGTTAGGGTGGATTGGCCGTGCTAACTTGTCCCGTCGTGCCCAGGGATGTGCAGGTTAGGGTGGGTTGGCTGTGCTGAATTACTCATAGTGTACAAGGATGTGCAGGCTAGCTGGGTTAGCCATGGGAAATGCAGGGTTACAGGGTTGGGGTGGGTCTGGGTGGGCTGCGCTTTGTAGGGTCAGAGTAGACTTGATGGGCCAAATGGTCTGCTTCTACACTATAGGGATTCTATGGACACTATCACCATGCTACCAGAGCCCCATGCAGTTTGTGTGAAAGCCAGACCCAGCACACTACAGGTATAGACCATCCCACCAAACGTTTTCTACTTTCCCCAGCACCAGTGCCAGTGCCCCATAAACAGGAACCCCTTTCTCCCACGTCACTCTGTGTGTCAAACATTCACTTTTTTCCTATGCCAGTTGGCATGTGCCTCCGGTAGTAACCCAGAGATTATTGTCATTGAGATTCTGCCTCTAACTTCTTTCCTGCCCTTTTAGCAGAACCTCTTCCCTCATTTTACCAGTGTCATTGGTACTGTGTAGACTTCAATCATTGGATCCTATCCTTCTCACTGAGTGTCCTTCTCCAGCCCTGAGCACATGGCCTGAAATTTGGCACTGGGCAGCCATCAGAGCTGTCTGGATTTGGTGTGAGAACAGTGTGGATTTCCTTCACAAGGACCGTCCCCCTGCTGCTGCTATACTCCCTCCCTCTTGCTCCTTTTTAAAATGGCTTCCTGTATCACAATGGCAGGAAATTGGGATTACCACACTTTTTTGGTGGTCATTCGATGGGCCGAAGAGCCTTTTTCTGAGCTGTGTGAACGCGTGAATTGGCTTTTCCAATTGTCCAACAGGTGAAGGTGCTCCTTTGCTCCTGCATGCTGGCTCTCCTTACTTGCCTTTATAGACACACCCTCCTGTTTCTGACCACTGACAAAACCTGAAGACCCCGTCTTGAGAGGTGAAACCCCTCGCCACCAACTTCCTCCTCCATGACCACCAAGGTCAGTTCAGTTTGCAGCTGTGTAATTAATTCTTGTAGCCACAAACACTGATTGGAGATGTATTTGCCCTGGATCAAACACTTCTGGTTGCCCTACACTAGAAAGGATATTATTAAACTAGAAAGAACACAGAAAAGATTTACTAGGTTGCTACTTAGACTGCAAGGTTTGTGTTATAAGAACCGAAAGAACTGTGGATGCTGTAACTCGGGAACAAAAACAAAGTTGCTGGAAAAGGTCAGCAGGTCTGGCAGCATCTGTGAAGGGAAAAAAAAAGTTAACATTTCGGGTCCGGTGACCCTTCCTCATTATAAGAAGAGGCTGGGACTTTTTTTTTTCAGCTGAAGTGTGGGAGATTGAGGGTGACCTTTACAGAGGTCTATAAAATCATGAGAGACATAGATAAGGTAGATAACTTTTCCCCATTGTAGGGGATTGTAAATGGGCTGCCAGAAGTAGTGGTGGAGGCGAATACAGTTTTGTGATTTAAGAAACATTTGGAAAGGTATGCAGATGGACGAGGTATGGAGGGATATGGACCAAATGCAGGCAAATTGTGAAAAGTGGGCAGCATAGACACGTTGGGCTGAAGGGCCTGTTTCCATGCTGTAGACCTCTATGACATGGGCATCACAGAAGATCCCAGGCAATCCAATTTCTCTTTGTATGCTAAACTTTCCAGATGAATGAACCTCTGCCGTCCCTCTACGGCAAGCATATGCCTTCAGTGAGGAGACCAAAATGGCCCACAGATCTCTTAAGTGTGGTCTCACCAAAGGCCCCATCAGCTTGGTTGGCTGAATGGCTGTTTTGAGGCTCTAACATTGCAGGGTCCAATTCCAGCACTGGCTCAGATTACCACAAAGGTCTCACCTTGTCAGTCTTGCCCTCTCCTGAGGTGTGGTGACTCTCAGGTTAACCTCTGCCTCTCCATGGTCTTCTACGGTAAGACAAAAAGGGTAAGACTTATGCAATTAAGAGTTGGCTAGTGTTGTAGAACAGAGGGACCTAGGGGTTCGGGTATATGATTCTTTGAAGTTTGTGTCACAGGGAGACAGGGTGGTTAAGGCTTTTGGCACACTTGCCTTCATTGCTCAGACCTTTTGAGTTAGGACCTCATGTACAGGACGTTGGTGAGGCCTCTTCTGGAGTACTGTGTCCAGTTCAGGTCTCCCTGTTATAGAAAGGATATTATTCAACCAGAGAGCGTTCAGAAGAGATTTACCAGGATGTCGCCGAGGGTTTGCGTTATAAGGAGAGGCTGGTTAGGCTGGGACTTTGTTCACTGGAGCATAGGAGGTTGAGAGGTGAACTCCTAAAGTGGGGTATAGAGAGGGTTAATGGTAGGTATCTTTTCCTGAGCCTGGGGGACGTCAAGACTAAGGGGCATGTTTTTAAGGTGAGGAGAGAAATTTAAAGAAGACATGAGGGGCAACTTTTTTTACACAGAGGGTGGTTTGTGTGGGTAATGAACTTCCTGAGGAAGTGGTGGATGTGGGCACGATTATAACATTTAAAAACACTCTGATAAGTATACGAGTAGAACAGGTTTGGAGGGATATGGTCAGGAGCAGGCACGCGGGCCTAGTTTAGTTTGAGATTATGATCAGCATGGACTGGTTAGGCCAAAGAGTCG